TTTTTTTCACTTTAATAAATGGACGATATTGATATATGATATTTCATCTTTCAACAGCGAACCTCGCCAGAATATAAAGATGCAACAGAGCTTTGGGAGCTTTGTACTTGCACGAAGAATCGCATTTCTGAAGAGTACGAGGACACAGAGACGAAGGGAAAAATTATGCTCAAGGTATTTGACTCATAGTCAACAATATTTGAATTGCGCATTCTAAATGAATATTGTTGTTTCAGGCTAAAAAAGTATCTGTGAAGCAGGAGGATGCCGAAGATACGTCCGAAAGTTCCACAAATCCAGACGAAGAATCTACACAGGTGTACGAGGAACTTTTCTCAACGGTCATGACCGTTACAGATCCAACGGACAACAATCGTCCTCTGCACAGCATGTTTCAACTGAAACCCTCCAAGAAGGTATTGTGCAAAACAAAAGAAAGTGTAATGAAAAAGTGATTTTGCATTTACAGAAATTTAATAATAATAATAATGTCAAGCCAAGAGTTTGCTTATAATAGTAAAAACAATTTGCAGCTGTATCCCGAATATTACGAAGTCATCGACACGCCCATCGACTTGAAGATGATTGCCAAGAAGATACTGGACGGAGCATATGGTTCTATTGGTGACATGGAGCGGGACTTGATGCTCATGTGCCGCAACGCTTGTCAGTTCAATGAACCTGGTTCGCAGATTTACAAGGACGCGAAGCTCCTAAAGAAAATTATTACTGTCGCAGCCAAGAAACAAGACGGAGGAATGAGTGCCGCAGTCAGCAAGTCCTTGGCGAATGCTCCATCGACCAGGAGCAAAAGGGGAACTCGAAGTGGGGCGCAGTCTCTCCTCACGCAAACGGCAGCCCTCCCAGACGAGGACGACGAAAGCGACGACGAGGAGGAAGAGGGTGCTGAAAACGACGAGTCTGACAATCCGCAGTGGCAGCTATTCCAGACTATTCGAACTGCTCCGAATAATCAGGGTAAATGAAATATCAACTGCGATTTGACCATCGCAAATAAAGATGCAAGTTATTCATCTAAAATTCTAAATCAATCTTGTTGCAGGTGTTCGGATGAGTGAATATTTTTGGAAGCTCCCTTCTAAACGCCTCTATCCTGATTATTATAGAATGATAAAAAATCCAATTTCTTTATTGCAAATTCGAACGAAAATCAAGGTAAATAAAAATTTCTTTTTAATTTTTGTCTTTATACCTACTGAATATCCATTTTCTTCAAATGACAATTGTTTTTGTTTAGAAAGGGGGATACGGAACTGTCAGTGAAGTTGCAGGCGATATGAATATAATGTTTGAAAATGCAAAAAAATATAACGTTCATACTTCTAGATTATACAAGGTAAAGAGAGATTTCATCATTGTCTTTATTTGTCAATCGACATTTTCTTGCTTCTAAATGAAATTTAATAAATTGTTTACAGTGCGCCGTCAAATTACAAAAGATCATGCAGGAAAAAGTGCAAGAATTACTAGAATTCGATCGGGTGAGCGAACGTGACAATAAACGAAATGTATGAATATTTGCGGAAACTAGTTATTGAAAATGAAATTTGTTTTATAAAATTAGCGCATGTACTTTTAAGTAAAGTTTGATTCAAGACAACTTGTAACAATACTTTTACTTTTTTTTTTCAATAGGAATCGGAATCTGAAAGTGAAACCGAGTGCAACCAACAGCCGAAACTGATAAAACGCGCTTCAAATGTTTTGACTCGAGGAAAGTACACCGACAATATACCACTGAAGAAGAGACTTTACGCTCTCGTTAAATGCGTAGTGGAATATGTTGTACGTATTTTATTGATAAATTGAATTGAATTCATGTAGATGCGAGTACAAGTGCTGAGTAGAATAATTGTTTTGAAATGTTGCAGTATGAGGATGGAAGGCAACCAATGCTTCTCTTCATGGAGAAACCATCAAAGAAATTGTACCCTGATTATTATCAAGTCATAACCGAACCAATTGACATGTTGGCCATTGAGGCGAACATTAAGGCCGAGAAATATCAAACTGAGAATGAACTGATACAAGATTTCAAGGTATGTACTCTCACCATTGCTTGTTGCTTGCTTGCTCTTTAGCTTGAGTGGAAAGTGAGATTACTCATTTAATTATTATTTGCTTCCAGCTCATGTTCAGCAACTGTCGTCAATACAATGAAGAAGGGTCATTAATCTACGAGGACGCGAATACATTGGAGAGAATTTTAATGGAAAAGGTTAAGGAGTTGGGTCCCTTGCCGGACGTCAAGAACAAATCGAGTGCATCAACTCCAACGAGAAATGTGGGGTACGTATTAAATAGGTCAATCATCTGAGGAGGCAAATTGTATAAATTGAGTGTTTTATTTGTTTTAGTTCTATTTTTAAACGAAATATTAATTTTGCAATGTTCAGAAGACCGAAAAAGGTGGTGTCGCTTCGCATTCAAAAGTTGCGCACAATGTATGACACGATCAAAGATTATCACGACTCCAAAGGTAGACAATTGTCCCTGATATTCATGAAACTGCCCAACAAAAACGAATATCCCGATTATTATGAGGTAATTAAGCAGCCCATGAATATGGAGAAGATTGCTGCGACACTCAAGAATCACGGTTATGAGAGTCTGGAGGAGCTTGTCTCTGATTTTATTCTAATGTTCGACAATGCCTGCAAGTACAATGAGCCAGATTCGCAGATTTACAAGGTTAGTTTATCACCTTGTAAACCATTTAAAGTTCCCTTTAAATATGCAGTTGTCGCAAACACTTTTTAAATGAAAAATGAAGCTGAAACTGCTACCCCCTTAATTATTTGGAACTTGAATTTTAAAGTTGAATATTCTTTTGTTTAAAACCAGCATCAAATTTTGATCGAATATCAAAGCCCTTTTTCAAAATTTAAAATGTTTTTAATATTTATTACTACATTACAAAAAGTTAACAAGTACCTACATAATAAAAAGTCAGTTTTATAATAATAATTTCTAAGGTCGATATGAATTGAAAATTATTACAACAATTATGTACGAAACAAAAGAACGTTCCAACTTTTTCAATCGAATAATAATTTAAGCAAGCATTACAAATTGTTTACAATTCAATAACTTTTTGTTAAATTTTAAAATATAATAATTTTAATCTCTTACAGGAGGGTAAATAATTTACAGTTTAATATCATCTGTAATATACATATTTTTTATTTAGTTGACAAAATAGTTTATTCTACATTTTCAATAAATGTACTTATTGCATAAGTTGAAATATTTCTTTGTGGCTCTCTATTGAAAGTGTACGTATATATAACAGATGAAATAAATTGGAAGTTTCTTGGTTTTGTGTGTGTGTGCTGGGTGTATACCAGTTTAAAAAACCGTTTCGAAATAGACGCAAAAAAAGAATCTACCTGAGGTTAGAGCCTATTAACATTGACCTTGTCACTTTCTCTTTACCGATATTTTTAAAATCCGGAAATAATTTGAACTTAAGTATTGGTGAGACAATGAAATGGAATCTAAAAGTATATTTTTTAAAAGCTTCTTCCGATTAATAATTTTAATAAAGTGAAATAGAAATCGTGCTTGCAAGAAAAATAATGGACATGCAATGTATATATTATAATAAATGTGCGCAGAGTGTCTCGCCGCAATGTACAGGTTATGTGCGAAATTGCGTTGATTTGCGCCATTTGCGCAGAAGGCGGTTAAAGGAAAGTGAAATGCGCAGACTCCATCTGTATTTGCTATAGGGAGACATTTCTGGATATTCGCCAGTTCGCCTTGCCTCACCTTGTCTTTCCGTTTGCGGCTCATTGTTGTGTGTTCCTTATTTTGAAAGTAATTTGCTCCCACGTAAGACAGTGAGATGCAATGCAGTTTGAGAAATTTTGTTGAAAGTCGCCACCTGTTTGTGCAATGAATCTTGGCAGAGGAAATATGCGTTGGCGTAAATGAAATGTGAAATAACGTGCGAGAAAGACGCTCAGCTCAGTAAAGACAGTTTTGCATACAAGATACTGTACATACCTATATAACATGTCCCCGCGACCCTTGCTCCCTTACCATAATAACATCAGCCGATAAATTCGCCTTGTCGTTGGCAGTGTTTTAACCGCAATCGTGAGACCGGGAAGCAGAAAAAAGGGAAAATGTTCGGTTTTGAGCCTGGTTCCCCGTGTCCCTACAGTGCACCGCTCAAGACTCACGTTAAAAAATCTCCAATTCGACCGTGTTCGATTCGTCTCTTTAGAGACAAAGACCTCGATCAACGAACGCCAAAAAAATGCAAAAAAAACGAAACCAAAGTAATATGTACTTGATTAATTAAATCTTATACATAAAACTATCTTTATCTATACTTGTTTATTTAATTAGTATGACCGGTCAGAATAGAATAACTTTTCTCAGTTGTGACCTACTTAATTAGACTAATACTTTCCATTGAAAGTTACACGCCTCTCTTCTTTTGCACTCTTTTTCACAATTTCCATTTATTATTTCCCACACTCAATTATATTAATTACTGGTATTTACATCTCAAATTTTTTTTTCATAAAGTCAACTTTCTTTGTTATACAATTTTCATTCATTTTCAAGTTTAACATTACAATAGATGTATGTATGACAACTCTTGATAATAATCATTACTTTGCAGAAAAATGCTATTTTTTAGTTAATAGTTTGTCTATAAAATTTTACAAGAGTACAGATAAGATAAGAAATAGGATAGATACATTTTATTGTTTTTTATTTATCTGTTGTACTTTTCTTGTTGCACCAAGTTTCTCTCATTTCACTTAGTTTTACCAAAAGATGTTTATGAAAAGGAGGATATAACAAACACCTTTGGTAATTGGAAAATAAAAGTAATTAATAAGCTTGGAATTTATTTTATTTTCATTTATTAGTGAACACTTGTAAGTTTAAATGATTTTTGTTTCATTTTAATGAATTATTACGTGTATCTGACTTTGTGTATAATTAAACATCTAGTAGGTAATTTAAATAAGAGAAAACATATGTGTGCAAAATTTGATAATAAACGCGATTAATATGTACATTCAGCAAAAGTATTTAAAAATTCCTTATGTATTAAGCAAGCATTTTATTGATTTTAATATTAAAAAACCAATCGACAGCAATATTCAAGTGTATAATTACTTTTTATCTTACCAAGAATATGTTCTAGAATCTTTTGCTAATGTTCAATTAACTCGAATCAAGTTAATAATTGTGAACCTTCTATTGGCTGAAATCTAGTCGTAAAAAATTAAATGCTGCAATAGGAATAGTTGTTAAGGATTTTTTGACGTTTATTCATTTATTGACGTCATTACTGTTTCTAACAAGTTGAATTTGTTTTTCAGGATGCCTTAATTCTGCAACGTTTGGTTTTACAAACGAAATTACAACTGAGTGAGGATGAAGAGAGTGTTCCTGATGTGGCAGCCGCCGTGCAAGAAATACTCGCCACGATATTCACCGCCCTTTACAACCATCAAGATGAAGAAGGCAGATGCTACTCGGATTCAATGGCAGAACTTCCGGAGCACGACATTGTCGATGGAAAAAAGTAATTGGCGATTGCAATGATTGTGAATAATTTTTGTCGCAAGGTTCAACAGTTGTTTAACTGTTTCTCTTGTTTAGAATTCGTGGCTTGTCATTGGATTTGATAAAAAGGAGACTGGACAAGGGCGTGTACAAGAGGCTAGATCGATTTCAAGAAGACGTCTTCACGTGCCTGGAGAGAGCGCGAAAATTGTCGCGCACCGATTCGCAGCCCTTTGAGGACAGCGTCGAACTGCAGGCGTTTTTCCTGCGCACCAGGGACGACGTGACTCGCAGTGGAGACCTGCTGCACTCGCCCGCTCTGAATTACACACTCCTCGACCTCTCGGCCCAGGTCGCCGATCTCAAGCGGATCAAGTTGGAGCAGGAGATTGCCTTGCCGGCAGAAGACGAGAGTTGCGACGGAAACGACAAGGTAGGTTCACTTGTTCGACTTGTTCGACTTGTTCGACTTGTTCGAGTCGACGATGCTCAGGTGGAAACTGTAACTTTCTCTTCCTCGCGTTCAGGAGTCCGAGTCAAACTCGAGCACGGGAGCGAGCAACGGCGACGGGGCGACAATGAGCTTCAACCAAGAAGTTTATAGAGCCGGAGACTTTGCTTACGTGGAGCCTAGCGAGCGGGGAATGGAGTTCAGCGTGGTGATGATTGAAAGGCTCTGGACCAACTCCTCAAATGAGCAAATGCTGTACGGGAACCTCTTCTACAGACCGAGCGAAACTTATCACATTGCGTCTAGGAAATTCCTCGACAAGGAATTGTTCAAGAGCGACGTGCACATTGCAGTGCCTCTTGTCAAGGTCGCTGGCAGGTGTTGCGTGCTCAGCGTCAAGGACTACTTCCGAATGCTGCCAGAAGGCTTCGCTGAAAAGGACGTTTATGTTTGCGAGTCGAGGTATTCGACGAAAGCCAGGTCGTTCAAGAAAATCAAGAACTGGAATTTTGATCCAGACCGCTTGAAGCTTGTAGCTCGAGAGAAAATAATTGAGCCGAAGAGAGTGATCTCTGTGTACAAAGAGAGGCTCGAGAAGCATAAAGAGGAGATTGCCGAATTGGAGGAGGGCGAGAAGCTTATTGAAAAAGAGAGACCGGTACGTAGAAATATTGCTAATATTGATGAAACTCTCATTCTATGCAGAATGGATGATGATGATAATGAAAAACTCTTACTTTTAGAATGTGATACACTTCAATGCAGACGACTCGGACAGTACGTACTACGAGCAATACAATACCTGCGTTGGATCTGTGAAAACCGGGGACTTTGTTTACGTGGCGACTGAAGGTGGTCGGCAGCAAATTTCTCAAATTGACTCCATTTGGTCGACAAAAGAGTAAGCATCGCAGTCAGTCGGTGCGCAGCGTCGTCAATTTCAACCTGGCAAGAGTAATTAATTTTATTTGTTTTCAGGGGGAAATGCTACATGAAAGGGCCGTGGCTTTTAACACCGTCGGAAATACCTCACGCACCCACTAAGCTGTTTTACAAGCAAGAACTGTTTCTATCCACGATTGACGGTACTCATCCCGTCGTGGCTATCGTGGGAAAATGCGCAGTTCTCGATTACGGAGAATACGTCTGCAGTATGTTAATCTTCTCGTTCTATTACTTATTTATAATAATATTTTCATCAAGAAAAACATCCAATTTAATTGTCGAAATTTCTGCGCACTAGGTCGGCCGACAGAAATTCCAGAAGACGACATTTTCATTTGCGAATCCACTTATGACGAAACGAAAAACCTGATGAGGAAACTGAACGTGGACGGTTTGAAAAAATACAACCACAGTTCGACAGTCACAGACGACGAGATTTATTTCTTCCGCAAACCCATAAATCCTGCCAAGGTGAGTCTTGGAAATGAAATTGAAGAAAATACTTGAAATTTTAGTTGAATATATTTACCTCCATGTCTGAATGCGCAGGTATCTAGTGAAGTGGCCCAAATGCAAAGTCAAATCAAACCTCTCAGTGCCTCGGGGTCTTTCGATATGGTAAGTAATCTCCTTCTTCCTTTTCATTTTCATTTTTGTAGAATTTGCATGCTTTTCAAGAGAGATGCTATCAGAAATTGATATTGAGATGCAATTGAATTAAAAAATCACTGTTGTCAAAATTTTTCCTCTTCTTTTACATTCTCATCAGTATTTTTTGGCCTCTAGTTTGTTAAAATTGATAGAATATGATCCAATATGACTATCTCATAATTTCTGGCAGTACTGCTGTGTAGGTACATTTAACACTGGTACAGCGAGATTCTTCTCCATCAAGACAAGATTTACAATTTGCATATTATTAAAATATAAAGAATTATTAATTTTATTAATTTCATTCACTTTTGGACCTAATGAAAATTTCAAGATAAATGGAAAGAATTTTCACAATATCTGGCTGTATTAGTCATGGCTCGATGCACGTTCGTTAATCCTATGCCGGCATATGCAATTATGTATTTTTTTAGTTTTTCTCAAATCTTTATTATTTACGTCCATTAAGTTACAAGCATCCATCTAGATGAAAACAGAATTTTCCTTCAAGTTAGAGAAAGTCAGAGCACCTGTTGGGTTTTACGCGAGTCGACGGGAATTTAATTCAATAGTTAATTGTTGATTAGTTTAACGATGAATTTGCCAAACATAAAAATGTAATTGACTGAGATCCATCTCAGTTGGCTTTGAAAACTGCTCTCGAGCAGCCCATTGATGCAAAAAAGAAGTATATCGACAGTGCTCCTAGGATGAAAATTGTTGGACAATTTCTTTAGAAAAAAATGGTGTAAATTTGAATTTCCACAATTGAGTGAAGCAAGACTTTATGAAAACTAGCAGCACTGACGATGGGTAGGTGTTAATAGAGGTAACTTGAAACTAATGGTATAGGATTCTTCACCAATAATACCGAAGCTGGAACCCGATGTCCTAAGCATGGGAGTAGGATTAGGAGTAGGAGTCGGGGAAGACAGCATGGATGCGGGTGGTCCTCCGTCCGTTGGATCTATGGAAGCTCAACCGGTGCTCTCCAACACTCAAACGCCCGTTTCCACCAAAAAGGTAGGTCTGGCGTCGTCGCCTCTCTCCATTCTCACTACTTGTTCACTTTTATTCTTTTACGCACTGGCTCATTGTTCACCCTGTTTTATTTATAGTTTATCTGATTCATGATTCACCTGCTTCAACTTTTCATTTATTTATTATATTATATTTGTTCGCAACAAAATATGCCAGCATAAAAATCTGTTTTGTTTCTTTTCTTTTCTTTTCTTTTCTTTTCTTTTTTAAAGTTATTATTCGCACCGTTTAACCGAAGGGATTTTCTCAAACGTAGTCGTAAAAGGAATAGATAGAATAGCCATTAGTGCGATTCGTCCATGACAAACCATTATTCCTACTCCCGCCCTTTTAATTTTATTTCTTCTTCTGTTTAGAAATCCACCGGTAAGAAATTAGTTACGGGATATATTTTGTATTCGAGTAAACATCGCACGCCGATTACGCAAAATAATCCTGATTCCACCTTTGGGGAGATTAGCAGAATTGTTGGTAACGAGGTATTTATTTCTTTTTTTTAACGATTTTCTTTACATTTCGACAAGCCTTTTAGTGAAGAATAAAATCTCAATTAATTATTCACAACGAACGATATTTGTCCATTTTTCTCTCTAGTCTGAGGCTTGTCGACATGCTTACCACCGTTAAAACGAGAGAGATTGGCTACTCATCTTCTTTCTTTTAATTGTCCTTGCTTTTGTCTAATAAATTATCAATATAGCGAAATTTACTTCACTTGATACAATATAATAAATCCATTATTATTATTTAATTTATCCTATTATTATTATTATTATTTTCAATTATTATTTCATCTACCTATGTAACATTTTTGTTAGCAAGCTTTAATGTTTCTTTTCTTTTTAATTTTCAGCTTTAATTTTGTTTGTTACTTTTTTTTTTGAAAAAGCTGGTGCTGTTTAATAATAATAATAATAATAATAAATATTGTACATACATACAGTGTATTTAATAATTGAGCAGAAACTATGAAACTCTTGATAGATTTTATTTAGAGAGCAACCATTCTTTGAATAAAGTAAAACTGATTTTATACAAGTATATATGTTGAATTTAAAAAGAAATAGGAAGGAGGGAGAGTAGCCACTGAAAAGAAAAAAAGATTATAATTATTACGCTTATTAATATGTGCATGAGACACTTTTCAAGTTGTTTGTTGTTATTTTTAGTGGAGAAAATTGCCGGCGGGTGAGAAACAAACGTGGGAAGAAAAGGCCATCAAGATGAACGAAGAAATTGGCCAAGTAAAGGGTAATTCTGTGCCGGTTTCAGGACAAGATCACGTTTTCGAATGTTGCTGGGACACGTGTGACTTTCAATTTGAGGATATGACAGACTGCATTGATCATTGCATCGCCGAGCAATCTGGTCACGTGCAAACCACATTTTCCAATCTCAGTGGCGGTAGGTCGCAAGTTGCAATTCTCATTAGAAATTGAGTGCGTTTAATAATAAATAATTGTTACTGAAATATTATTTTTTTCTTCTTTTCAGAAGAAAATGTGATATTTCAATGTCAATGGCGAGGCTGTGGAAGAACAAAGAAATCAGTGCCGCCTTTTCCGAGTGTGCAAAGACTTGCCAGACACGTCAAGGAAGTTCACATTCTCAAGTCCAATGGACGAACTATCCCACCCGCCGATCGAAGCAAGTAGGTGTCTCTAAGTATTCGTCTCTCTTTAACTTTATAAGGATAAGGACATTTTAAAGGCAAAATAAATTTGTGTTTTTTTTTCAGAAATTTTATCGCCTCATCGAAAGGAGTCGCCGGAATGGCTCCGATGGAAACCGGTGAGTTGCGTGGCGTAAACCACAAAATACGATTACCCAAAGGTGCGCATTTGTATTTTCAGTAATACTACATTTTTATTGGCATGCGTTTTATTCGAAAATCAAAATTACTTTCAACTCTGAAGATGAGGGACCAACAACTTTTCAACAAAGTTGAAAATCTCATAAAAATTTCACTCTTAAACATTTTCATTTTACAATTCTACTTTTTCATACTTTTGAGAAAAAAAAGTTTGGAGAAATTTTTTCAAGTATAGATAAAAAGAAGTTTTAGAGAACAAGTTTTAGAACTTGACAGATAATTGTCGTTGCAGAAACTACTGTGGCTGCAACCCAGACCAACAATCTTCCAACCACGAAGCAACCGGAACCACTTTTCATTGCCGTTCCTCCCAGGCCGAGTCGACTTTTGCATTCGGACGCGTATCTTAGGTGAGAAGCACTTATTCACTTTCAGAACTGAAAGTGAATCAATGAATGAACGAGTTTGACATTGTTACGTTTGACGTTGTAGGTATATCGAGGGCTTGAACGTCGAGAATCGCTACATATCAAACTGGGACAAGCAAATGAGCGCAACACCAGAGAACACTCAGATACCTGAAATAACGAAACTGCCGGGAGAGTGGCTGGGCAACGGAGTGGGCAACCATGGAAATGTTGTCAACGCCTTATGGACCCTGAGGAACATGATGATGCGCGACGTGTTGGCTATTAACAAAACTTTGTAGTTGACTGGAAAAATCGAGCTGTATAAAATAATTTCTCATCTTTGACAAGACTCTTTGGGGAAATGTTGGCGTTAGTCCGCGACTCAAGACTGATGTGTATTTATATTTTAATATTTCAGGATCTGAGCTCGATTTTTAAAGCAGGGAATGCATTTTTTTTCTTTACGTTTCTCAAGTGCACATAAACATTATATGACCCTCAGGTACAGTCCAATTGATGATTGATTACATTATCAACTTAATGTACATGTACATCGAAGCTGCTAAATATGTGTAAAATATTTTGTCTCAATCTGTGAAATATTGTCAAAGAAAAAAGATATTGCTACTTTATATGCTAAAAATAATTGTGAGTCCTTAGAAATTTATTGATTCTCAAAATGTCTTACTATTAGGAAACATATTTTACCAACTTTTTTTATCTCTCAAACTTTCCTATTTGTAGAATGAATAATTAAACAGTTTGAAATGACTTGCATTTTATTTTTTAAAGTTGATTTGTAAAAATTGACAAATAGCAGCAACAACAACAGCAGTGCTATATTGGTACATTTTTCTTTTCATTTTGAAGAGCAACATTTCTATGGGATGAGTAGTTAGCAATAATTTCTTTGTATTTTAAATACAACAAATTTCTATCATTGAGAAAAGTTGTGGAAATTTTCTTTAAAAATCTGTTACCCTTCCCCCGTGCTGCCAATCTCCCCACTTGGTTGGTTCCTTTTCCGAGTTGGGAATAATTTCGCCGCTCTTTGGATCAGTCTCGACCAGAACCAAGTCGATGAATCGCATGGAACGATCTATTTCAGCTGTCGTCAACAAATTTAAACTTATTTTATTCTTCTTGTACCTATTTTTATTTATTTATTTATTTTTTCTCTTTATTTTATTACTTACGTGGTAAAACATCTGCCTTGAGTTTCTCATGAAATTTTTGCATTCGCACAGATTCGCTCTTTTCAACTTTGGAATTACCAACTTGAACTTGCGTCAAAGAACCTAATAAATAATTATTAACTCTTTTAAATATGAGATAATACTTATTAAAGAACTAAACGTCGATTGAGGGTTGACAGAAATATAATAAAAAAGCAAAAATTTAAAGTTCAAATTGAATTACGATATAAAAATTACTATTATTAACCGACTTTTTGTTACATTTCAGTCAACTTAAAATAAACAACAACAACTTTCTGTTCCCAATCGTCAATATAGGATGCTGTAGTATTTTTTTAAAATAAATAAAAAAGAACCAACTTTTTGAAAATCTCTTTCTCTCAGGATTTATCCTTGCGTTATAGGAGAACATTAAACGTCGAGGCAACATTTCTGCTTTAGTTGAAATAATGAAAAACTAATTTAACAGATGATAAAACTCTATGAAGATTTATTTAAACTGATTTAAACTTTTCAAATTTATAACAAACAAAAGCATGCTCAGATGACTGTCAAATAAAAAATAATAAAAGAAGGTAGGAGAAACAGTTGCCTAACAATAATAAATTTTATTATTACCATATTCATTTTGTGGTTTTAATAATTGTAAATAATTATTATGAGTATAGAAGATTTCTTTATAATATATAAATTAAAACTTTTATATCATCGTATTGGTTTTATTGAAAGGCATGCGCAGTTGACTTGCCCTTGACTCGTGTCGTCTGCTATGTATAGTGACAAAGACTCACATTTTCATAATATTTTCATCAATTTTCATTGTTGGTTGCGGTGGCAATACTTGATAATAATTTTCTTGAAAAATGAATATGCATCAAATACTATTAGAAAAGTGTATGTAAAGTAATTGAACCGTGACCCCTGTAAGTAGCTGAATTTATTGAGAGAAATTATTTTTAAAATCATTAAAAAATAAACATACAAATAATTAAGATGTCAAAATTACCTCAAGTAATTTCTCTGGAACGCAACTGCTTTCTTCATTCGTTTAATGGTAATTCTTAATCATCAGCGTATTACGTTAATTACTTTAAATTTAACGGCAATTAATTAATGAATCGTTTCTTTCTCACGTACTAATCTTTTCACAGTAGTCAAAAGATTTGCAACAGGAAAAGAGAATGGCGAAAGTTCACGATTGAAAGAGTTTAGAAAGAAATTACGCGAGCGAACACCAATAGGTAATTTTCAAGACTCTGTCGCTGGTGGCGAATAGTTGTTGTAAATTGTGATTATAATGTTCATGAGGAATTTCAGAGAAACTGGAAGAATTGGAAGAAGGCAAGCACCCGAGTCAAGAGAAAGAACCATTGCAAGCTTTTCCGGGAAACACGAATCCAGACACTGGCGAAGTAGGAGGACCAAGAGGACCAGAACCTACTCGGTACGGCGACTGGGAGAGGAAGGGACGTGTCTCTGATTTCTAATTATAGATTAAACAAAAATCTCAAAAAGCACTTTATGTATTTGGAGAGAAATTAATCATTACTGTACTTGTACATATACATACCTATACATTGTTGAGAAAAGAATTGAAGGAAGAAATTAAACTTAATAAATGGAAATGAAGGAAACTGACATTTAACAAATGACAACAGATTTATTATTACCATTATAATGTACGCATATATCTACATTTTCCAATTGTCATTCACGGCGCATACACACATCCCAAAACTACACATCTCCAATCATAAAAAATGCATTAAGTAGTAATTACGTTTTGGGAACTCTTAAATTACAAAGAAACCGTAAATAATAATAAACTATTTCCAACTATGTAAGAATTCTCAAAAAATAGATTTCAAGTATTTACATTGTACATTGAATTTGTTGGTTGGAGCAACAGAATCGCATTTTCAGAAAAACACTATAGGTGAAGAACAGCGCGAGCATTTTCCAAAGACAATTGAGTCTATTTATACGTGAAGAGAGATTAGAGATTTGACAATTTTCTACCCGCAGCTCTGACCTTTAGCTAGTTGCACAATAACAGTGAGAAAAGACAATGGTTTGGTACTATTATAATTATGTAGATAGTCGAATAAGTATCAGTTTTGTTCAGTTGGTTCAGTTCATCCAGGGCGGACAACCCGCCGGAGGTTGCAATGCGTGCGAGACGGGCGGCTGCTGAAAGTGATGAGCGCTCTGCATCAGGTGATGCTGTGGGCGCATCTGGGCCGATGGCGTTGCGGGGGGCGGCGGAGGAGGAGGCGGCGGCGGGTCGCATATGGAATGCATCAGCGGAAGTGGATTGCTCGGATGCGCCTTCCCCGAGTATGATTGAAGCGCTTCGTACTCGATGCGTTGGTCTCCGATTCCAATCTGACAAACGGCCTGACTGTCATCGCTGGGACCTGGAGCAATAGATACATTATATATTTGTCAATGATTTTTTTTTTTATTTCCTTATATTTTATATCGTCAGTATGTAAGCACCTCGAATCATTCTGAGCCTCGGAGGAGGAAGATTTACAGGCGGAGGAGCTCGATAGTGAGGATGGTGCTCCTCCCTAGGCGCCGGCGGCCGAGCGTAAGGTATCCTGGCAAAGTGCCCTGGCCAAGGGCCTTGAGGAACGGGAAGCGGAAGAGAAATGGGCCCATGGCTCGACGAACTTCCAGGATCTAGATTCGATACACTTTCTTGGCCTTCTAAAACAAACGTTCACCATCAGCTTCACTGATAAAATCAAATCCAAGAGGAAAAAGCAAGACGGTTGAGTTGTCGGTTACCTGAAGTAATGGCACCCACGGACTGATCACCATTGCGCTTATCACCTGGTGAAAACATCAAGTCGCATTAGTACAATTGTATAATAGACAGTCAACTATTGAAATTTCTTGAAAACATGCTTTTCGAATAAACACCAATAATTCGCACTGGCGGTTACAGTTCCTTCCTCCAAAATTGACTGAGCACCGGGCGGTTTTAAACTAGAAAAATTATTCAATTAGTTATTCGAGCTACTCTCGGCTGTCCACGTCCGTCCACTAAAGAAAAATAAAATACAAACTTCCCAGCAGCCCAACTTGTTGAGACGATCTTCCCAATCTTTTCTGCCCTGCTTTAAAAAAGTTTTAAAAATCCATAAAAAATCATTAAGTACCTGTGATCGATTGACTGAGTAGTTCCTGAAAAAAAAACTACAACAACAAAAAGGATAGTAGTCCAGAAAAATAGGGTCTCGTTCCTTTGACGGAAAAATAATCTGTATACATATATCGAAGAAACCTTGAAAGCGAATTTTAATTTAAGCGAAAAAAATTCAGAGCGATGATAATTCGAATTTCAACTCGAGTTGTCATCCGCAAACATACTTGTCTGAGGTGTAAACAATGAAGTCTTCAAATTAGTGTTAAAATTGGATTTAAAAAAAGAAAAATAAGCCAGGTTTGCGGAGTAGCAACAAAACAAGTTCTTTTTTTTTCTAGTGAGCAAAAAAGGGAGAAAACTGATTGACTGTTTCTTGAATTCCGAACGCGCGGCCTCTCGCAATAAAGGTATCCAGCATACCGTGAGCTACAGACCTGGATGTGTGGGCGGCATGTGCGGCTTGACTCGATCGTGGGAGGAAGGACCCAGAGCAGCTGCAGCCGGAGCGCGAAGTGCTGCCCGATGGCGGTCTTCTTCTCTGTATAAACAGTCGAGGCACATTTGTTAATAATCAACCGTGAAATTATCAATCGGGCTCATCTCAATGGCCCTCATCTCAATTCTCCGTCTCAACTTTCTGAAATACACAAAACAGAGAATAAAAAAAGAAAAATCACAATGCAAATAGCTTATATTTGCTTTTCCCAGAAAAGGCAGAAATCAACAATCTCAGAAAAATTGACCCAATCTCTTTCGACACACTCTCGAACCACCTGAGAATTTTCCAATCTTTTCGTCTCGTGTATTTCTATAGTTAAGATGCCTTATGATATCAAGGCCTTATTACTGTAAGAAAATTGTGACTTGATTCTCTTATCCATTTGCCACTTGCCACCATTCGGTTCAAAAAGTGTTTGCCTAATGCACCTTAAAACTAGTTTATTTTTGTCCTTTACTTTCTCAATTCTTTCTATTGACACTGGAAATTTGAATTTCACATTCTTGAATGCAGCTATAATTTTAAAAAGCGAACAATGTTTGTTAATTTTTGTTAAGAAAAATACAGTTATTTCTATGTAGACTATGCTATATTACACTATCATAACCTTACAAGTATTACCATGTAGCGATTGATCCAATAAGCGAGCGCTCAATCCATTTTCTATTTAGAAGCTTCATTTTACAACACGCTTATTCAAATCCTGAACAAGAGAATGTTTGTCATGCCATGACAAAGGAGATTCCCAAGATGAAAAGTTATAAGTGTAGGTAGACTAGTCTCAATAATTGATTGGAGAGACCTTTTAGTCTGCAGCGCCACTACAAGTTTTGGAATTTATTTTGTTCCAAACTTTTGTTGTGTGACTGGCCCAAAAGCTACTGCTCCTCAATTGTTGGTCTGCAGTTTTCAGGCAGTCACACGCACCAAAAATTTTACTGCAGCATGTCGAAAGTCTGCTACTGCTACAGAATAAAAGGTCTTTCAGTGTGGAATAACAGTAACCCAAAATTTATTCTTCTTTTAAAAGTACTTTAAGAATGCTTTCAGTGTTGATAACAAAACCTAAATAAACATTATTGCCAAACCACTTATGGCTAAAATAGGTTCCTTAATTAATCCATTTTTGTATTGACTTGAGGATGATGATTTTAAATAAATAATTATAGGATTTATTTTCAATTGCTCAAAAGTCGTAGAATCCTGCGGTGAAGAAGATTACACAAAAATGCATTGCAACTTTTCAACACTCACAACTATTAATTTCTTGTTCGATTTATTTGTTAAAATTTTTTTCAACTACATTGAAAGTAATAATTATAACCTTTGTATTATAATGAATTTCTATACTTGTTCGAAACTAAAAAAAAAAAAAAAACAAAAGGAAATCTTGGAAAAATGTATTGCATTAAAAAGAATGAAAATATTGAGTTTTCACAAAACTTTGAGATTTAATAATGAATAATCCAGCCAATGCAGGTAATAGTGGAATAAAGAATTTTTCAATACTTTTTAATGCAAGTCCTCTTAACGAGTTTCCAATAGATTCATGTAAACAACATTTAGTGCTTGAATGTTAAATTTTTGACTTTATGATACAGAAGAAGCTTAAGGGAATCTATTAATAAAAGTATATTTTCACTTAAAAACGTTCTATATATGTACAACAATAAGTATTCATTAGACTCATTCTCACTCTTTTGCAAGCAAATTGAAAAACTTTGATAAGGGCGTATCTCAGTGAAATCTCTGCAGCTTGTCTGCTAATTATTACAACTCTCGAAATCTATTTATCTGATTTGTTGGGGTGCAGGAAGTTTCGTTTCTGAGATACACTCTCACAATAAATTTATCACGAGTGAAAAATATTTGATGCACAAGTTTCTAGATTAATTCATCCACGGTCATTGCTTGAAACAGTCTCTGGATTACTTACTTTTGTAAAAGCGATCGTATTCTCTAAAATATAGTCAGTAAATGCACATGTTTTCATTTGAAGACGAAATGGAATGCAAAGTCCTCAAGAGATGGATAATAAAGTGGAAATGGATATTTAAGCTACCTACATTCCTCGAGAGAGAATTAGTTCAACACTTACCCCATGCCGTGACGCTGCGAGGGAGGTCGCATGCCTGGATGGATCGGCGACTCCTGAAATAGAAAATTCTCAATTGAAATCGTTCATTATTCATTTCACCTGACAGGGAGAGCCTGACAGAAGGCTAATGATTTCTACCTCGACTCCTTCAAGGTCTGAAAATCTACGCTTCATTCCTTGCAGTTTGTGCTGATCGGACAATTCGGGTTTCGAGTCCATGTGATGCGGCGGTTGCAGGGCATAGTGCACTTGAGTCTGTATCTGGCCATTGTGGTACTGCACCTGCTGCGCGTGGTAGTGCATCTGCGCTTGAACCTCTGGCGGAGGTAAGTTTGGCGCGGGAATTTGCATCTGGAAGAGACGGCAGTTCGATTAGAGGCTGCTTTGGTATTGGTAGTGGGGGGGGGGGGGTGGATATTCACCTGGAGCTGGGGCTGCGAGGGAGCGACCGGAATCTGCTGGCCCTGATAGAGCCAGGGCGCCTGAGGAGGAGGAGGCGCGTGCGTCGGAGGCGGCACGCTCGTCAGCATGTTGGCGGGCGGCGGTGGGACCATCCTCGGAGGCGGCACGGGTTGCGGGGCGGACGACGAGGCGACCTCCTGGCCCTCGAACTGAATGTGGTTCTGGTCCGGCTCGCCGCCGGTCTGCAGCAGGAACTGTGTCTGCGCCTGAGACACGGCTGGCACCTGCTGGTACTGGATCTGGTAGGTCTGCGGAATGGGAGGCGGCGGCTGGTTCGGGGGGAAGGGCGGTGGGAAGTGCAGGTGGAGCAGCGAAGGAGGAGGGTGGTGGTGGTGGTTGGCAGGAGGTGGCGGAGGCGGCGGCGGTTGCTGCAGGTTGACAGTCTCGATGACGCGCGAGGGAGTCGACGACCTCTGCAGACTGGGCTGCGTGTAGACGTAGGAGACGGCGGCCGACGGCCCACTGCTCGCGGAAACGAAGCCCTGGTGGATTGGACTGTGGTGAGGTGGGGGCTGGCTCATGACGTACATTTGGGTCACGGGCTGCGCTGGGCTCTCGGAGCAGGGCGGCAGCCCCTGAATCTGAAGAGGTTGGCCCGGATGGATCTGGTACTGCACTTGACTTATGGTTGGGGGCGGTCCTATCAGTTGCACCTGGCTCACCGATGGCGGAGGGACAAACGTCTGCAGTTCGTGCTGTTCGTGCAAAAGTAAAGTCGAGATGAGTTTCAATTCTTCCTTTCGCTTTGAGCGAGTGAATTACCTGAGCGTGGTCAGTGGGCTGCATGGGTCCCGAGTGCATTCCCGGCCCAGGAGTGCCGGCCACAGTCGCCGTGAGAATAGTGGCTGGCAGAGTCACCACACTGTTCTGAGGATGCTGGATTATATCTTGATGCTGAATAGTGACGACATTGGGTTGGCCCACAGCCCCAATATTCATGGTTTGGAATTGAGCTGAAAAAGCAGTGTATTTAGTCTTGAGCAGAGCAGAGGAGAGGAGGGAGGAGGGAATCTAGTCAATTTTTGTTGTTCTCACCTTGCTGAATTTGTTGTATTTGAGGCTGAGGAATAACCTGCTGAGACTGCACGGGAGGCGGCTGTTGCTGTATGTAGGACTGCAGTTCCGACTGCATCGTTTGTATGAGGTTAATGGCCAACTGCTTTGCATTTTGCAGCACAGGGGGATTCGGATGTCTGAAATTTCGAGTATTGCATTGCAAACTTTGTACTTGAATAGTAGAAATAAAAAACTTACTCGATGTAGAGATGCAGAGGTTCCGGTGATTCTGTTCCCAAAGCAGGATCGATAAACTGCGATCCTCGACCTCTGAGAGTGACGGTAGCTCCAGTTTCGCCCCGAATGTAGAGTAAATTTGATCCCCCAGCTCCAATAATACGCCCCCGTAACCCAAATCCTTCCGGAGCATTTTCTATTCCAACGCAAATTTTTTCCTGCAAGTAAAAAGATTAGAATCACACTTCTATAATGAGAATGTGCCAAGAAAGAATAAAAAAACTTACGACAGAAGGCACTCCAGAATGTAAACTCATGAGTGGTGGAGGAGCATTGGTGAATCTACTCGGTCTGTTTAAGGAACTTCTGTGTTCAGTTTTGATGATTTCGTTAATTTTTTGTATAGCCACTGAAAAAGAGAAGGACAAATGTTATTTTTCAAAATATTGATTCATCTTGCATCTTAGTAAAAAGACATACTGTCAATGTTGCGTTTAGTGTGTCCCTGTATGTACAAGTAAAGCGGCCTCTCATTCGTACATCGTTGCTTCTCCGATTCTGTCATGAAGCGACCACGCGTCGAAACAGTTGCACCTATGAATTAAAGTAATAATTATTGTAATTCCAAATTCTTGGGGTGTCCTCTACTTTTTAATGCAAGTTTGGTATCAATGCGTACCTGAGAATCCATTGATTTCATCCTGGATGAAACCTTTTGTAAGTAATGTTCGAGCTGTTGGTGGAGTTTCGTTAATTTCGAATTCGGTGGTATACATTTCTGATCCCTTGAGTCCACCGTTTGCCGATGGTGATATCTATAGAGTAATGAAACAATTATTTAATGTTGATAAATTTAGCAATCTTGTAGAATGAAAATGTTGCGAGAAGAACTATAACATACCTTATTGTTGCTAGCATCTGTGTTTCGCAATTTTCCTTTAGCCATATGTATATTACACAGTTTGTCAATTGTCAATAAGGGTTTTCACTAGTAGAACATGGAAACAGATTTATTTTTTATAAAAGAATCTTGTATCAACACTGTGATTTGTAAGTTAATTAATAAGCAGAATGTTACAAGAAAAAGTTTCTCTCAATGAAAAAATTGACATTAGGAAATAGTAAGTGAAGGTTCAGCGAACGAAACACAATAAATTTATTAATTATTCACAAAATGCAACTTTTTTTTAAAAAAATGTGTTTTTGCAAATCCACTCATCAAGTTTTGTTCGCCGAGTCCTCGCAAAAAGAATTCAGACTTACATTGCCGCACTTCGGAATACCGAAATGCAATAAATTCGATGGCAAATAGCTCCATGAAATTTAAAAAAAAATTTCAGTCTTTATATCTTAACACATTTTAATAAGATGAAGTTATAAATAAACCGTCAAGTATTGCTTTCAATGCAATCAAGAAATTCCCTTATAACAATTGATCAAACACACTTTTGAATGAAAAGCGATCACACGTTCTTCCTTGCGAATTAAGTTTTTATTGGAGTTAATTTAAAGTGTAGACCAAGTTATTAAATTTGATTTAAGAAATTAATAAAAAAAACTGCTTGCAAACACAAGATTAGTAATGACAGCAAAAATATTATGTTTGTATGTACATATATATAGCAAAGGTGCGGACTTAAAAGGTTCTTTAGAGGTTAGCTGCTGTGTATTTTATATTTTTATAATAATTTTACATAATTTTTATTTTTATCTATATATACTTTTCTTATCTTACACCTCTTACACCAAACAATCAAGGTTAACCATTTAAAACATAAAAGTATCATTTACACTGAGCTATTTCCAGCAACAAAATTCCCCTTCACCAGGGTTGCGAACGTCTAGTACGTAAATGTACGTTGTGTTGCGCAATTGCGCGCTTGGTTTATGTGGAGAAACGTGTGAACATATCTTAATACTTGCGTCAGATACGTCAGATACGTCACTCCATTAAACAAAAACATAACCCTGAATTCCATTGTTTTTTCTCCAAAATGTCAGATTGTCAGATTCTCATCTGTTGTTCATTGTAGCGTATATTGTTTCAATTATTTATACTGTGTTCAGTTGAATGAGAAAAAAGATTTGTGAAAAGGGAAAATGTCATATCAAGGTTCACCATTCTCAACTGCTTGTGGTCAAGATGATTTTGAATTGGACGAGGAAAATGAAGAGTATTTAGATTATGATAGAGATGCAGAAGATCAGGATGAAAGTGACGAAGGTGAGGAATTGATGTTTAAATTAACTACATTAACAATTTTAAATCCTCAATTAATTAAAACTTTCATCACTGTAAATTTCACTAATAATAGGAATTATAAATAATCAAGCATATGCATTTTAGATACCGAAGAAGCGAGCGAAACTGATATGGGAAAGACTGAATATACAGAAATTAAAGAACAGTAAATATTAATAATATTAATATAATAATTTTGTTAATCGAATTACAATGAAAGAAGAATGTTAAAAGTTTTTCAGTTTTATTAATTCTGATACAATTTCTTTGAATAAAATGGTTATTAAGTGACGAATTTTGTTTATGAGTTGTGATTCGCTTTCAACTACGGATATTTTACAGGGTTTATCAAGACAAACTTGCAAGCTTGAAAAAACAATTGCAACAATTGAAAGATGGCACGCATCAGGAGTACAATCGAAAATTAAAAAGGCTCGAGGATCAATATAAAGAAAGGTTTGTAGTATGAATTTTCAATATTGTGCTGAAATAAAGTTTTGAGAAAGTCTTTAGCATGATTCATATATATTGCACTGCAAATTTGCATTTAAACATAATTATTAAGATGTAGAAAGCACCTTTTGGTGTTTTATCGATAAAATACAAAACAAGTTTAAGAGTTTTAAAAATGTTACGCTTTCTTGATTAAGGTTGAGAATGAATGTAATACACCGTGACTATCTTACCGAGTGGGTTGAGAGAGACTATATTCTCGAGAAGAAGGCAGCGGCTAAGGAATTTGAGGAAAAGAAGATTGACTTGAAAGACAATTTACTCACAGACATGGAGGATAAACGGAAAATGATTGAGTCTGATCGACACACGATGGAGCTTACGGGCGATTCGATGGAGGTAAAAGGAGAAATTTATTTTAATTTAGAATATAATTTCGTATTGGAATATGAGACAAAATGAATTATGCTTGTCAGGTGAAACCGGTGATGACGAGGAAATTACGCCGGAGACCGAATGATCCAGTGCCAGAGAAGGTTGAAAAGCGCAGGAAACCTCCACCGGCTCAGTTGAATTACCTCCTAGATGAGAAGGAAATTGACAACGATTTAAAGGCCATCAGTCGGGGGAAAGTGTTGACTACCGTTCGCAAGCCTGGTAAGATTCGGCTCAGATTCTTTCTCACTGCTATTTAGAAATCTGGATTTCATTATTAAAGTGACAAGAAATATTTTACGTTTCTTTTACAGTGGTAATGCAGCACTATAGTCCCGTCAACTTACCGACACCGGCAATAAATATCTCGTCAGACTCTTCGTTAGTGGAAACGCGAATAGAAGATGGAAAACTCTTATATGAAAGAAGATGGTGAGTATTATTACCTGCGGTTCAAGTGTAGAAAGAGAAAAGTGTCTGAAATGAAAAGTTGTCAGTTGTAAATTAATAAATTTCTTTTATTAGGTTTCACCGAGGCCAATCGGTTTACGTTGAAGGCAAAGATTTACAAAGATTTTCGGCAACCATATCGGCCATTGGAAATGATGTGGTGAGTAAATTTGAGAAAGTGGCTTCTTTAAATTTCCCAAGTTTTACACTTTTTTCCTTTTGTTGAAGGTTTGTGTGAAGAAAGTCACGGACGGAAGTAAAGTGAAAGTGTGCATATCTCAATTAAGCAGGGGGAAGATTTCAATCAAACGACGTGCAAATTAAAAGTGATGCTCAAATAAGTTCGTATTGTTGAAATTAGAAAACTGTTTCAGACGTGTACTTATCGCTCAGGCGAGATGAAAATTGTTGATCGCTGTTGTCGCCAATGGGCAGAGAGACTTTGACCTTGCTCGTCTTCTGCCACCAGTAGAACCAGGCTTTCTGGTGGTGTTGAATGACCGCGTACGTCCAAACAAAGTATGAGAAGATGATGAGTGACATCATGGCCAGCAGGGAGTAAGTGGTCCACCGAGCCGGCGGAAAGTGGTCGTAGTTGTTTTGGGAGTAGAAGTCGGCTGCCACAATGCAGACGTACGAGCAGGCGATTGTCAAGGGAGTGACGATGACGCACCGCAGCAGATCGGAGTGGAGATTCCGCACGACAGTGCGTTGCCTCTGCTGACGCAGGCACAGCCAGACCGCAATCGACTCGGCGACTCCGTAGCGGAGGGTTCGCTCCACCTGGAAGTCGTGTCCGCACAGCTCGCAGCTGCTCCTGTTGCTTTCCTCGAGCCACTTCTCCAAGCACGTCAAGTGAATTGCTCCCACAGTTCCCTGCAGATGCACAGTCCGATTGTATATATAATTGTAAATAATTCATATCCACCCGCAAGTATTTCTATCCATCAATCACGTTAATGTACTTTTAGCCTACTTTACTGAGTGTGTTTAGTGTTTTCAAATGAAGAAATGCTGACATTCGACAAATATTCATGTGTTTTATATTACTTTTCTACAATTGCTTTGTAAACATAATATTTTGTTTGTTTTCGTGTAATAAAATTAATTAATCGATTCCTTTAATTTGATCGTCGATTGCAGAGATAGGTATATAATTTAAAAAATTTGCTGTGAGATGAACGAAACAATGGAAGCAATATTTCATTATAAAAGGTTGTGTGTCGATAGAATGGAATTCTAGTTACTTTTCAACTAAGCGTCGAGAATAAATTATATTCTTCAAGACACAGTTTTACACTTTATTTACCTTACATTTGCAGGGGAAAACAATTTGCACATTTCGATGTGATTCGTAACAAATTCGACAACTAAAAACATCTTCCAATCCAGAAGCTCGACTGACTGAAGACGTACTTTCTGGCATAACGTTGTTCTCACCACATTGAATTTCTTTCAATTCCACTTCCACTCTGTCAACGAGCTGCTCCAAAATAGCGCCAACTGAATCAGACATTGCGCGTTCTCTAAAAGTAAGTTTTATTATTATTATTCTTTCTCTAAACTTTATTCGGTTTTTATTCTTGACCACCTGCACAAGTTTGACACTTTTGGGTTATTTTAAAAATCTGATAACTTTTTAATGTTCCCGCTGACTCGCAAAAATTGAATATTGTCAGAAGAATAAAAATTTTATTTTTATTAATTTTCAATGAATAAAACAATTGAGTTTGACAATTTGTCTATAATTACAAAATATATATTTTTTAGACAGAACCATTCTCGCAGTGATTTCTTTGTTTCTCAATGTAGATATATGTACCTATGAGTAAATTTAGTTTTTCTTTTTGTTTGATGCCTTTGCTGAAAAGACTCTTCATGGTCAATAGATATACTGAATGAAATATGATAAAATATTATTGTCACTGACATACTTTTTCTCTTCTCTTTTACTTGAGCGGTGAGTGAATGCGATTATTTTACTTTCTGTTTCTGCCTAATAAATGAAAAATGATTACTGACAATGATTATATTATTTTTATTTATGTTGTTTTAATAGTTGTAATGATGAATGATGAATTTTATTAATATTCAGACTCTAAGCGCATGAATATGTAAATAATTATTTGAAATCCATTTTCACTGGAATGAAAGTGTTTTATAAATCTGAATTAGTGAAAAATTTCGCTGAATTAGAATCAGCGAAACTTGTAGAGACGCTGCCGCAGTATATAACTAATGTGGTACAATCGAAGAGTTTTCAAAAGAATTCATGTGTTCGAGTTTGTTTCCTCAACTGATTGAAGAACCACATTTTTTTACTATCACAATAAATCATGGAATTAACATGTCAAAGCGTACGCTTTGGGCTTCCGTGTCGAATAACGGACACGTACCGAAACGTGATGGAATTCAGAAAATAAAAATGTTTGTATTTCTTTGCCTGAAAGAGTTTGAATTTTGAAAAAATTGAGAAATCAATATTTGGAGGAAGATGCGAGAGAAGGAAGAAAGATATTTGATTGAATTAGGTATGCACTCGACATCAGAGCGAGAGAGAAGGAAAGAAAGAAAGAGCGCAGCAGGCGAAGAGGAGGATTCTTTGAAAATTTGAAAGTTGGATATTGAGGGAAGTGGTAAAAGTGTGGCGTGGGGGGCGAGGTGCGATACGGCGCGGTGAGGCGATTTCCGCGGTCCACCAAATGAAGAGGATCCAGTGACTCAGTATTCGCGCGGAGCGTGCTCGGTGTTGCTTGGTGTTGCTCATTTTTTCACGCCGTCCGTTCGAGTCCGTCCGGTTTCGTTTTCTTTCACTTCCAGTAGAAAAACACCGGCTGGAAAAGAGGCTGTCAACAGTTGGAACTCTTCCTTTTTCAGGATTAAACACTGCCCAAACTTTACAAGTAAATTGCACAAATTTTTTATTCTTACACCTATATAAATAAAAGTTTTCTTATTCTCATTGGTACATTTAAAAAATTTAAAAATTTTAAAAAGTTAGTTATTCTTGAGAAGAAAGTTTAATACTTGAATGAAACATTGCGCTATAATATATTTATATTTATCACCATCAGTGAAAATGCACGTGGATGACTTAAATATATTATTATATTACAAGTTTACAATTAAATATAAATTGTGTTACCAATTACAATAAGATGAACTTTCCGACTTTTCATTTCCAATCTTTGTGTAGTGTAAATATTATATAATAAATAAAACGGCTCCAATTTCAATAGAGAATCTTTCTGGTGATTAAATAATAGCAAATATCGAAAATTGAATCTATGTACATGGATTAAATTATAATTATATAAAAGATTTTAATTGCTTAGTCAGTAAAATTGGTATTGGGAATTTTCCGAAAAATGATGATGAAAAGTGTAATACTTTTATTTTGCTTATAGTTGAAAGAGTGAAGATGCTGTATTTTTGAGGAAGATAAAGTAAATAATATTTTACGTTGCAGTCGTATAAAAAAGTAGTGGCCTTGCCTTATCTTATATGGGACTTTGAAAAAGTTTGGAAGTGCCTGCAACTGTTCCCTCGATATAATGACTTGGAGACTTAGATAACTGTCTCTGGCGCGTCGTTAAGCCAGGAGAGTGTTCGCATTACCGAGTAATATCGCGTCGGATAAGCGATATACATGGTACTAATACACCCCCGTCGCATCCGCCCTGTGGGAGTTGGTGTCCAAGATAGCGTATGTTTGTCCCCTAAAGTGCGCTCTTGTAATAGCTGCACAGCTAGAGTATCTTTTCGCAATTATTCTGGCTTTTAATTAGACGGCCTGCCTGCTCATTTTTATGCACCCACTAAATTACGTTGAACGCGAGCAGAGTATTTTTCATTTCAATTTTTAATTACTGGGCTTCACTTTAAAAACTTTAATTCAGATATTATGGATTTTTAATTTTCGCGCAAACAAAAGTGCAAGTGATATTGGACCGTTTTCTTTCTCAATAAACGAAAGTACAAGTTTTCCGCACTATAAACTCTCAATTAACAACAATAGCACCTTGCTATATAATATAGAAGTAAATATTTTATGCACTCAATTTGATGTAGTAAGCGGAAGAAAATGGAAAAAATGTTATTTATTGATTGTAGATTATGCAAAGGGTTGTGCGTCTGAAATGCGAAATTTGACGACGTTGAACATTAGTAGAAATAAAACATTAGTAGACGGTCAATGACCGAATTATATGTTGAATATGTTAATTATATTTATATATATATATATATATATATATATATATATGCCTCTTGTCCCTCGATGGTAAAATTTATATTAATCATGCGTGTTTTCTCTTTCGAAAATGACGAATGCAAATGAGAGAGACGGAGGCGCGGTAAAGTAAATAAGTGTGAATTTTTGATATCCGTGTCCTTTTAATTAAAATTGACAATTAACGTGTGTTGGAGGAGGAGAATTAATTGAGAGACATTTTTGCGTCTAAGAAGATCGAATTGAACTCGATGGAAATAAGTTGATGCAAATCATGTACCTCTATCGCGGTTATCATGTATGCACATCTCAGTTGGATAATTATAAGCAATAAGCATGCGCTGACCTAATTACTTTTGAAGATGTGCTTGAAATAGAAAATATTCGTGTGATCGATTCTATGTAAATGGTCCGCCGATAATAATTGTGTGCTACGCTTGAGGACAGTTATTTTTGAGACACGTTCTGTCATATCTCTGTTTCATTTCATTTAGACCGCTCGTAATTTTAACCGTTTATTCTCTACTATATACTCACATTTGAAACAATGTTTTTAAGCACTTTAAAATATATTCATTTTAATAAGAAAATAATACATTCTGTTAACGCATAATATATAGTTTTTCGACATTTAATTCAAATAAAACATTTTCCATACAACTTTTATTAAAAACTTTTGCGTCAGTTAATTTATTAAAGTTTCACTTTATTCTCATATGTGATTTGATTGAACAAAATTAATAGATAATTTTTGTATTTTTATAGCACTAAAATATTATTTATTCCAGCATCGCTGCGAATAAAGTTGAGACGAGCTTAAAGACATATAGTCGCTCTTTGTCTTTGCGCCTTTTAATGTAAAAAGCTCTTAAAAATGTAGCCTGCTCTTCGTTTTTTAGCCGAAAGCAGATTCTGGCTGTTGAGTTGACTCTCATCGGTCGTTTCGTGTTACTTTGAAATAGAAGCCTACTAATAAGTCTTTTAGCTATATAGATTATGCTTCCACACTTACTGCATCCGTTAAAGTGTGTCCCGTAATGAGCAACGATATATATTTAATGCGTATATACGTTTCAAGTAAAACAGTTTCTTTTGAATCAATTGTTGCATAATAAAACTTGTGTTTCAGTAAACTGGAATTTCTTCAAGAGGAATTGAATGTTTGATTTGAAAGCAGTAAATATAAATACGGGAAATTCTATTCGCCTTTTCCTTTCTCACTCTCATTATATTTCCAGTTGTTTAATTGAAGCTAATCTGATATTTAAATTGAGAAACTATATTGATCATCATAGAATCAGATCAAGCGCTTAATTGATGTAGCGGTCCCAAGACCTAACGGTCTCACATTCAATAAGTCAGAGGTGCTCAACCAAATGTATATTATTTTTGAGTCTCGTCATTGCCATAAACACGAGAGAAAGAGAAGTGTTTGAATAAAATGAAATAAAATTTCGTGCGAATGTGTCAGTTTTGCAGAATGATATTGCCACTCGTCCTCGCCGCCCTGGTTTTCGAGGGAAGCCACGGCCTTGCCATTGGACAGGAAGAAGCAGAGAATGATGAATTAGCGCGACACTACAGCACGCGATACTCAATCTACGACGAGCCTTACAAAATCGACTTCAAGTACCACAATTACGACCAACTGACTCGGTTTCTGCAGACTACTTCGCACCGCTTCCAAAATCTCACTGCCCTCTACTCCATAGGGAAATCCGTAAAAGGTAGGACAATTATTTATTCTAATTCTCATCAATTTCCAATAACTCCGAAGTAGATGATGTTTGCGCTCAATCTCAGATTGTCTCGAGAATCGCCCTCAGCAAAATGCTTAAAAAATAGATATAAATCAAAGTGAAACGTACGCTTTTCATATATATTCCATTTGCATGTAAATAATACTTTTATAAAATCCGAACCCTTAATATTTAATTCTCTGTGGGACGTCTCTAAATAAAAGACGATTTTTGTATTATCTCGTAAATGTGTCATCTGATGTCAGTGACAGTTTTATTTTGAGTTTGGTTTTAGACGTGTAATTCGCTTTCGCCTATTCTCACTGATACTTCGGATTCCGGAATTCCCGATATAGACGTATAGAGGACATAACGAGAAATCTCACCTCGATATCGAAATACACAGTACAATATGTCTGTCACTTGTTGTTCTTGCTGCGGTTATTCAAACCATATCGATGGAGGACAACTTGTCAATTATTTTTGTCATTCATTTTTAAGTTTTAAGCTGGGACCTTCGATCGAGATTCAAAATAATGACTGTAATCAATAACTAAAATCAACTTTTTATTGCATACAATATATATTCAGATATATAAGATTAAACGGATAATGTAAATTTTTGTCTCGGCAATATTTCGAAGGAGGAGATTCTCGAATGGTCCAAAACTTAATTTGTGAAAAACAGTATAAAGAAAAAAAGCTTTTGCTCAAGTAGTTGTAAAAATTGATGGCGGAATTTTAATTTTGACATTTTGATATGCAAACTTTTTATGAGAAAAAGCTTTCCCTGCATAATTTCACACTTTGCACGTGGTGCTTTTAGCAAATTTTTCTAAAAACTATGCGGCACTCTTGCGCGATTTCGTCATAGTTGTTTTGATTCGATTTATAAAAAGTGCAATAAATTTAATAGTTTTCCTTTTTAATTGCTGAGCGGACTTTTTTTTTTTTTTTTTTTTATTTCCTCATCTATTATATTGCTAACATAAACACAGTTTAATGTAAACTTCTTGTATCTCAATACACCGGGTAATTTGATATGGACACTTTTTTTTTGGCAATGGTTTTATTAACATTAAATATTTTTTATGAAGCTGCAATATAAAATTTTTCAAAATTTCATATTGGTTTTAAACATAAAAAAAATATTGAACTTTAAAATTGAATTTTTAAAAGTAAATGGGTGCCAGTTTCAGCTTATTCATATAATCTTGACCATAAAGTTTACCCTATGCGTTTGTTTTATAATATCTAGAAAGGTGTAAAGTTGGAACGCCCCAGTTTAAGACAAAGGGAAATTCTTAGCTTTAAGAATAAATAATTTAAAAAGAAATTTAAAACATACGAATAAATTGGAGGTAATTCTAAATAAATAAAGCATGTTGTGATAAAAAATAAATTTTCTCCGTGTAACTTTGTTGCAGGCCGCGATCTCTGGGTGATGGTTGTTTCCTCGTCGCCTTATGAACACATGATCGGAAAACCCGATGTTAAGTACGTGGCCAATATACACGGAAACGAGGCTGTAGGTCGCGAGCTGATGTTGCATCTCATTCACGTATGTAAATCCACCGTCCATTGACCTTGTTTGCCTAGCGACTTGCCTCGCTTCTTTTCAGGTCGCCTACTGATTCGAAACACTAAATGTTCTCAACACAACACACCTGAAAATAATAACAATAATAATAAAATAATAATAATAATTCACAAATCATCGTCTCTTGAGCACAGGAATACAAAAAGTTGACCCAATTTCCAATGAAAATTCACCCCTGCGAAGAAATGAAATAATTATTTCCTTTTTGCATGCTTTTCAATTGAATATGTATTGGTAAAGAAGACAAAAGGATTTAATTGAACTGTGTAATTTTTTATAAGCCATTCTTGTTTCTCCAATAAAGTATTGAAAGTGCGACGCGGCGCGGCGACGATGTCCTTTTGTAAATAATTTGACTTGTTTTTTAACATAATTATGGATCGATTTTCACTTTTCCGTCGCGGCGGAACGAATCCAGCAAACACAAGATCTTGAGAGATGGTATTAATATTAATATTCTCGTCTTGAATCATTTGCATTCCGCTGTTGTCGAATTCGCGCGGTAAATACTAATTCGGAAGCGCTTCGATTCTGAAAATTGTGTACACGGCCTCCGCATTTTCAATTAGTGCTTAAATAAGTTTGGCTTCTCTGAGGAATTAAAAAACACAATATATAGTTGAAATTACGTTGCAGTTGCTCGTTACAAACTACAATGTGGATCCGTTCATCACCTGGCTGCTGAACAACACTAGAATTCACATTCTGCCGTCCATGAATCCGGATGGCTTCGAAGTTTCAAAGGAAGGATATTGTGATGGCTCACAAGGGAGGTTAGTGGATAAATTCCAATATATCACCTTCCTTAGAGTTTACGTCGCTTTGTTTAAGATTCGAACATAAAAGTCGGATTACTTTTCTCAGAGAGAAAGAGAGATGAGAAAGAGAGTGTGAAACGCATATGAATATTTATCCGACTTTGTATTATTCGGTTTTCATTGTCGCAAAAATCGATAGTGTTGAGAGAATTCGATTTACGTAAATACCTTTCCTTTTTCAGATATAACGCAAGAGGATTCGATTTGAATCGTAATTTCCCCGACTACTTCAAGCAGAACAATAAAATAAGTCAGCCCGAGACGGACGCAGTGAAAGAGTGGGTTTCGAAAATCCAGTTTGTCCTCTCAGGAAGTCTTCATGGTGGTGCTCTCGTTGCGAGTTATCCATTTGACAACACTCCGAATTCGCGTAAGTCACTTTTTCAATTACTACTTTCATCGCCTGCAGTAAATCATTTTTAAGACGCGCCGCGCGAAAATACTCGCATTGGCTGGAAGCTGGAACTTGATAACCTGACCTGTTTCGCAAAGGTTAAAATAAGATTCAAGTCACTAAAGCAACAATATTGGAAAATTGAAAATTAAGTACACTATTTCGTGGCTAATGAAAATTGATTTTGTCTGAAAGCTTAAAATATTATCACCTACATAATTGTAGGAATAATTTCAAAACCTATTTTATTCTCCATTTTATTGTATGGATTCAAATTAAATTTAAACAACTTTTTTCCAAATTGACAATTTGTTGGTTTAGTGTGGACAATGATTTGTCTCCGCATTCAGTTTCGTGAGGAACCGGAAGACACTCAAATGAAAGAAATAACCGCAATTAGAAAGTGCAACGTAATGGCGAGTTACATAGTGTAACGGTCAAAACAATAGACAATTCAAGTTTAAACAGATAACATTGTCACTTGACAGGATGTGTACAGAAAAGGAACATCCGTAGGTGTGATTGTCCATTAATTTATTATTATTACAGTTACTGTTTAACAATATATGTGAAATAATTCAAAACAGTATTTCATTTAAAATGTTTTAAAGAAAAGTTACAAAAATTAATGCCGTTCCTTTTTCACGCATTCTTAGGAATTTGTCAATCAGCGCCATTATGTGCAGGTAAAACTGAATTTTTACAATATTAAAAGCAGTAAAAAAACACTTATCAATTCATAGGGCAGATGTAGTGGTATTATGATAATAGGTATTAGTTTACGCAGTGTTCGATTTCAGTGCGCAACAAAATTGTGAATGTTTTTAAAGTGCGGGGAGGAAACAGATCCTCTTTCAAATATGCGTAGTCAATTTGGGTTTTCCCCGCTTTTATAAAATTAGATTGTGTTAGAATTTGCGCCGAAATATTTTTCGGAAAAGCCTCGGGTAAAAAGAAAAAAGAAAAAAGAAAAGCAGTTAACTTTGAAACGAAATTAGTATTGCAGATGAGCTACGCGTCGACGCCAAGCATCTCCCCGGACGACGACGTGTTCCGCCACTTGTCGTGGACCTACTCCAAGAACCACGGCACCATGTACAAGGGCAAGGCCTGCTCGCCGACTCAGTCCGGATTCAAGAACGGCATCACGAACGGCGCCGAGTGGTACAGTCTCACGGGAGGCATGCAGGACTTCAACTACGTCTGGAACGGCTGCATGGAGATAACACTCGAAATATCCTGCTGCAAATATCCGCCCGCCAAGGACCTTCCTCACTACTGGGACGAGAACCGAGCTGTAATATGTCACAGATTCTCATTTCAAGCTCAAATACCATAACATACAATAAGTTTAACAGTAATCACGTTTCTCCTTAATATGCTCAATTTTCAGCTTTCTACTTTTATTCTTTCCCTCAGACTAGACAGGCCCGTTTCAATCTTTAAAAACACAGTTTCTACCTTTTCACTCTCCTGACAGACAGACAGACAGACAGACAGTCAGACAGTCAGACTTTTTGTTAACAGTCTTTCTCTTTCAGTCTCTTCTAGCGTTTCTGGCCGAAGCTCACAGAGGCGTTCACGGCTTTGTAATTGACGAAAACGGCAATTATATTGAAAAAGCGTCAGTCAAAATCAAGAATCGCAACATCAGCTTTCTCACCACAAAGTATGGCGAATTCTGGAGAATTCTCTTACCTGGAATCTATAAAATGGAAGTTAGTAGAGCGAAAAGTTAAAATATCTTAAGCTTATTTAGCACTGTACGGTCATTAATTTTAATGCCGCGTATTAATTTGAATAGTTTTATTTTGTTTTTTAATATTTTCTCTCTTTCATTCCCACCAGTGAAAGCGAGAAAATCAAACATACTCATAATAATAAAAAATCTCTTCTCCAAGGTTTATGCCAATGGATACGCTCCCATGGATGTCGACTTTGTGGTAGTCAAGGAGCGTCCGACTCTTCTGAATGTCACTCTTCGCGCAGCAAAGGTAATGTTTGAAAATTCAGTACCTGACCGCAAACGAAATAGGGGGGAATTGGTCGATTGAAACCAACTGTTTTTCAATCCTTACTACCCACATAGCACCATAGTATGAGGTAAGGTTATGTTGAGTACTAATCGTAAGGCACATAAGGTTACACAATATTGCTGCGGTAGACCTGAGGTGAACTAAAAACTTCCGCCATGGAGGTAAGGTTACATGTTAGGGTGTGGTGAGTATATATGATAAGGCCATGGTAACCTTACACGTTAAGGTTAAGGTAACCTTACACGTTAAGGTTGAGGTAACGTTACATGTTAAGGTTGAGGTAAGGTTACATGTCAAGGTTGAGGTAAGGTAATTATTAAGTTGTAAGGTTGAGGTAAGGTTAAGGTAAGGTTGTGATAAATTTACCAGTTATGGAAAATATTGAAAAAATAATTAATAAATAAATATTCAATTAAAAAGTTAGTTTGTTGCTCTTCTCTATTTTGGAAACCTGACATGAAGCAGAAAATTTTGAAAACAAATTTGGGGGGACTGGGATTCGAACCCGGGATCGACGCGCATAAACCTATCATTCTAACTAACTGAGCTAAGTAGAGAACTGGCAGAAGGAAAATTAATGATGCCTTTAAGGTGAACCAAGAAGATGATTAACTCCTTAAAGGCAATATTAATTTTCCTTCTACCAGTTCTCTACTTAGCTCAGTTAGTTAGAATGATAGGTTTATGCGCGTCGATCCCGGGTTCAAATCCCAGTCCCCCCAAATTTGTTTTCAAAATTTTCTGCTTCATGTCAGGTTTCCAAAATAGAGAGGAGCAACAAACTAACTTTTTAATTGAATATTTATTTATTAATTATTTTTTCAATATTTTCCATAACTGGTAAATTTATCACAACCTTACCTTAACCTTACCTCAACCTTACAACTTAATAATTACCTTACCTCAACCTTGACATGTAACCTTACCTCAACCTTAACATGTAACGTTACCTCAACCTTAACGTGTAAGGTTACATCAACCTTAACGTGTAAGGTTACCTTAACCTTAACGTGTAAGGTTACCATGGCCTTATCATATATACTCACCACACCCTAACATGTAACCTTACCTCCATGGCGGAAGTTTTTAGTTCACCTCAGGTCTACCGCAGCAATATTGTGTAACCTTATGTGCCTTACGATTAGTACTCAACATAACCTTACCTCATACTATTGTGCTATGTGGGTATATTATTATTCAAACCGCTTTTTTTATATAGCTGCGTTGATGAAATTGTTTCCTTATTTAAAATTGAAGAATTTTTTATCGTGAGCCAAGAGGTTGAAAAACAGTTGGAAATGCATGAATTATAATGATAAATTAATGATATATAGTGACTCCTATAATTGAAGTGTTGAAATCTTTTTGGAAACTATGAAATGTCACAAACGAGACACACATAAGTTTGCAACACATAAATGTGTTGAATTCGCATACATGCATCAAAAACAAAAACGCGTTTCATCTCTTGTTCGTGCAAGAGTTGCTCTAAAGAGAAATGAAAAGGGTTTTTCACTGAAACCTTTTCAGAGATGCAAAGACATATTTTGCAACGAGAATCTCCGAGGAGCGAACTTGATGGACACACAGGCAAAGTTTAACTATTCGCCGCCCACTCAGGGCTCGGAGATGATCTCAGTTCACGACACGGTCAATAAAGATTCCATCGTTTTTCCCGATTCCTAATAGACCACTCGCGTCTATCGATCTTTAAGCCATTATTTGGCCTTTATCGTAAACGATGTAAGTATTCTCTTTCTCAGCAGTATATGTATGCATCATGCCAAAATCAATGCGCAACCTCATGTACTTTTTTCAATTTTTTCACTCGAAACTTTTCAATTATCAAGGCTAATGGTGCGCATATTATAAGTAAGGACGGTAAGGACCGCAAGTGCCAAGTTGGTTTCAAAACATTTAGCGGCGCATAAATTATCACCATCAGTGTTTCAAAATTCATGGCATCCTGTTATTATTACCATTATTATTATTATTATTATTTAATCCATCAGCTAAAACTGTTACTCTGTGTAGATATATATAATATAAAATGAGAATCGTATATAATGATTATGAATAAAAAGTGTCTTTTAAAAGACTGTATATTAAATATACATAATTAGTTTACGTAGCTGATGGTGACGATGATGGTAATAATAATTTGAAAAGAATTCGAGTGCATAATGTTGCTTTTGCATCTCCAAGCGCTGCTGCAGATATCGCAAATCGCTGCTCGGCTTTTTTCTCATCTCATCGTTATAGTAGTGGCTGAGTGTCTATTCTCAATGAAGAGCAATGAAGAGCTTGAGAGTTATTCACTTTTACTTAGGGTTGCTCGCAGTTTCTTTCTTCCCCTCTCTCATTTCTTTCTGTCTCACTGATCATATGTCTTTGTTCGCATTTTGAAAATAAGGTTGCCTCTCTTACTGCTCTCATTATAATATACAATACCTTCTCTCTCGTGTATTCCCATTTCGCCTTTCCATTGTTCGTTTCAAAACAAATTTTCTCTGATAAATTCACGTCATTTTTGTCGTGTATTGTATTTGCTTATCTCTCAATTTTTCTCTTTCTAGTGTCTAGTGAATGTAATATAATAAAACCTTAATAGGGATAATTTAATTGTCAAAAATTCTGAAACGTGTCTCGAAAGAAAATTACATTTTGCAATAAAACTATAGTTTCATCTAAAGTAGAAGGTTTTAATTAAAATTTTGAATTCGTTGTACTCACTCCAAGTGATTTTCTTTTCGCTTTTAACTTTCTCGATAAAGTTATTTCTGGAATTGAAACCGCTTCTGCTCGGAAGACTGACCAGAAGATGAAGATGCGAGATAATATAATGTCGTCTTAAATGATGCGGACACGTTACTTTCCTGAAATGCGTGCTTTCTTACTCTAGTTAACTGTCTTATTTCATCTTCATTTCGTCTGAATGAGAGCGAGACGCGCTTCATCGAAATAAAACTCATCGAACCTGCTGATGGGATGGGAGTTGGTGCTAAAATTTTGCCTAAACTTCAAGTTTGCTTTATTAAAAATGTTCAAAGACACCTTTTTTATTTGTAAACTTTTTTGTCAAGTATATGAAAAAACTTTCTTTATGTATATCAATTTGCTTCTTTTGAGTCTCTCATTGCAGAATGAAAAAATCGATCCTACGTAGAGAGTCGAGTGAAATTTCAAAAAAGAATGTACAGCTACAGATGATTAAATTTTTTCTCTCTATTTTCTCAAGCATTTCTTTGAAATTTCACTTTTTCTTGAAGAAAAAAACTGAAAAGTAAGACACTCCAATTAGACTAGTTTTATTTGAGAGAAGTGAATAGAAATAATTGTTTATTAAATTTTTCCATCTCTCGCTTGAATAAACCTGGGTTTGTAAAGGTTGGTAATGTACAACATAATCAGGTGGCTTTAAATGCTTCTGGCTTCACTATTAGTCAGTGTTGTTAATTAATTGCCACGAGGCCGTGTAAAATTGCTCGCTCGCCTCGTGGCCTCTACTGCTGGCTCGGAATGTACATGGACAGGTGCCCTTTAAGCGCGGCTTATTAACCTCAGTGCTCCATTAATTAGAAACAAGTCATTATCTCGTCTTTCGAGGGTGGATACATTTATAATAACAATTTGACAAAGTCAAAGACGGGCAAATTCTTTGTTTTCGAATTATCGGGTTCGCAGAGTGGCATTGAGCTCACGAAGCGACGATTGTTTAATGACTTGATGAGGAAATGAAAAAAAGTTGAGAATATATATAAGTGTTTGGGAAAATGGTGAAAGATTCATTTCTGATTGTGAGAGAAGGTAATTTGGTCCTTTGTTGAATTAGAATTAAAAGTGTCGCTAGGTTTCCGGAATGAAGAAGAATCGCGCCCTACTTTCACCGCAGGCGAGCAACATAATCCATTTCGAGTACCATGTCACTATTAATATGTGACAGCCTCGGAAACAGACACGGGCTGATATTATTATTCGCGAGGACAATCCAAGTGATTACATTTTTTTATTTCTTATTTTACAAATTTCTTTATTCATTATACATTCAATTTATTACTTGTTTATTACTTGAATATCAAGAAGCGCATTGTTTGATTTGTAAGTTGACGAAACTTGAATTTGCTCACGAAACTAATTTTCAAGCTCCATAACTAAACAAATTTTCCATTCTTGCGATTTCATAGCTTCTTATTCAGTGGTATTTTCTAAAGAAAATTGAAACATTTACTACTCTGCTTTCTTATTGTGACGTGCATGCATGTTGAGAGAAAATTTCTTATACAACTATTCCGTAATGGACACAGTGATAACTCGTTGTGCGGGCGAATGTTTTGCAAGGATCTGTTGAGTGCTGTTGAGTGCTGTAAATTTTGATTTTGCAATAGAGCCAGGATGATAATGGCGACATCGGTCTGGGAGTGTACGGCGGCGGCGGCGGCGGGGGCGTAGCGGTTCGACCTTATCCACATCGCGACTATACTCTTCACTTGCGACCGAATGCCGGTGCCAGCACGGCCTCCGATACCAACAACGGGATCTTCTCATCGATTAGCAACAGCTTCAACTCCCTAGTAAGCAACATCTTTGGCTGATCTTCCGCTTATCGACCAACACTGGGTCGTCTCATTGCCCTCTTCGCCGTCATCACCTTATCTCACTTCCTGCGAGCGCGAGTTCGAGTCACAAAGCTCGGGCAGAATCCACTGACAATGAGCTAGGAGAGCTGCCGGAACCGAAAAGACCAGGCTTCGATTTCGATAAGCTTGTTCCAAATATTGTTTTAACAAATACTGTCCAAACTCCGAGGAAACCCAAGTCACAATTTTTCCTTAATCATTAAAATAACCAATTAATTTTACACTATTTTCTTGTATAACTTGTTGATTATACAAACAGAAGAGTTGTCAATACAAAAGTATATATATACATGTAAATTAGGTAACAGTGGACCACAATGACACCGATATATTTTTCGCTTTAATCATTTCAAGTTTACTATTAATCTCAAAACATTTTATTGCAAGTTGACTCGTTACTCTCAACGCATTTTGTTTCATGAGAATGTTAATGTTCTGCTTCTTCTTCTTCTTCTTCTTGCGCCAACTCCAAGCACAGGCTAATATGGTATCGATACTTTTTAACTGACTCGAGTTCATCATTCCAACGTCGATATTTTTAATAATCCTCCCTTCACCCCTCGCATTCACAAAGCAAAATTTCAAATACGTTTGCGAACTATTGTAAGTGCGCGCAGAGAAAAATGTTCGATTTCGACATCCCATCACTATGACAATATATCTTCAAGATCATCACTGTTTTCTGTCCAGCACGAATAGTATCGCAATAGTAAAGGGAGAAACATAGAGACTTTTCAATTATTTTTTTACCACTGATTAAAGCAACAACGTTGAAGACGAAGCGTGTTAAAGATATCTGAAGATTATCATTATCAACCAATAAAAATGATGTGATGCCTCTACAAAACTGCCGATAGGTGTAAATTTAGAGGTAAAACTGCCGTGATCCTCCACTACCTAGAATGTAGTTATTTATTGAAGAAATGATTCGTATTTATCTAAAAGATGCAACGCAAAGAATTAGTTGGTAGTGCGCATAATGTAATTATAATATATGAATACTTATTGAAGAGAATTAAAATATTTGACATCTGTAGAAAAAAAGATGGTGGATTCTTCGTATTTTACAAAATTGTCAAATGCAATGTCAAATAATTATAGTCTTTATATTAATAGTGCAACGTCGAAATGCAAACACCGATATTGCATTATTATTTATAGTAGGTAGTAAACGGTTTTCATTGTCGTTGAAAAATTTATTTATATTTTCGATGATTTCAAATAATGAATACTGCATTTCTGTAGTCTTCAACATGTTATTATTATACGTAATCTGTTCTCATGAAAGCGCATTATAGGAAAAGTGGTTATAGTAGGGATTATCCAAAGCGGCTTATAAAAATTTTCCTACTTTTTTCGCAAACACACATGTCAAATAATTATTACAAGAAAAGCATTGACAATATTTTTAATTACTTTCAATATTTCTATAAATATTATTTCATTGCATATTGAAATGATTAAAATTTTATTAATGTTTCGATTTTCATCTAATCTTCCAAAACATACCTAATATTTATTAAAAAAATAAGAATATTAAAATTTTAAAAGAATAATTTCTTCACTAATAAGTGACAAAAACTAGTTATTTTACTTTATAGTTATGTACCTATTAAGTTTTATTAAAATGTATTTATTATATTTACTAAAATAATTTTTCAAGACTGAAGAAAAAAGTAAGCTATATAAGACAAAAAAATATTATTCAAATTATTGTCCTCAAAAATAATATTAACAACTCTTTTTTCTCGTGATAGTGCAAATGTCAAATTCTAATGTATTCTTAAGAATCGAGGAACTAAATATGGAAACAAGTGAAAAAACTCAAGTGCGCATTGAAACTCGTTTAAAAAACTTGTCGGAAAATTATTAATTATTACGCAAACCATAAATTTTTTAAGCCCAATACTACTTTTCCAATAATATCTTTTCGTATACATATATAGAATAATCATTTACAAGAACATTCTTCTGTTCCTTATATTATTCTCACACTAGGTTACCTATACTTATTATGTACTTTATTATTTATTATATAAATTCTATATATATTTATTTCTTTATGTATAAAATAATATTGTTCTCTCCAAAAAGAATTTACAAGACTTTTCTTGAAATATTCACTTTACACAGTTTACTGCGTTTGACTTGGATATAATTAAATATAAATTAATTAATAATGAACTTGTCTTTTAGAAGAATATGTATATTCGTGAATATTTCATGCGTGATAATTTTTTAGAGGTAATACATGTATATTTAACGAGAATTGTAAATTTTATTGCAGATTGTTGATGTACTTTGATAAGCATATAGGTATAGAATGTTAACTTAAAGCATCCAAGTTCTTGTTTACTGCGAATAGAATAAAAAAACAACAATGAAACACAGCAGACTCTATTTTTAGAAGTATGTCAGAAGAAATAAATAAATAAATAAATATGTTTAAAACAATAAATCATTTAGTACCAAATTTTTTTTTAGATTATATTGTAATTAGGTGAGAAAACCAAAAGAGATTTTATATATATATATATAAAGTTTTAGTTTCATTAATTAAAATATAATACATTTATTAACAAATGTTTTACAATTTGACGCTTGTATAAAAATATATACATATACAGTGTAACATTATCACTCTGTTAGTTTCGTAAAAACACTCAATTTTCGCTTGATTCTTGCACTTTTGTTCAATTCTATATTAAATTCCTGAGATATATATATCTAATATTACACTTGCAATCTTCTGTAGATTATTGTCGAAATAATAATAATAATAATAATAGTTGAATGATTTATACAATGTTATATGAAAATATTTTCGTTCACTTCATTATGAGATACTTTTTTCTGGAATTCATGACATATTTTTCTCTGTTCTTATAAACTATAACAAAATATTTGTAAATTCCCAACATTACTCTTATATAACATTAAATAATATAAACTATTTTACTCATGAACTCTATAAGATTTAATGATACTCTCTTCTAGCGACACACAACAATTTAATTTAACACAAAGTTTTCTGGCCTTCTTGATTAATTTTTCCAGAATCACCTTCTTGTCATTGCTCAAGAGATCCCTTAGGTAATGAGTTTTCTCTCCACTCTCGTCAAAGCACAGATTGTGCAACTTTTCGAAAACACAACACACATTCCTTCCTGATCCATCCAGCATTTTTGCTAAATTTTTTGGTTTAAAGATTTTCTTCACAGACAGAAAATTGTTGAAATAATTGATCTCACCGAAACACAATTGGTGGAAATGTTGAAGCAGAGAAGGAGCCTTGCTCCCCGTCATTGCCAGGATGTTGGCCAAGTGACTGGGCGTGAAGCCCGCTTGGAGAAAGTCATTGAGAAGTGCGCTGCTCTCATTATCTGCAAAACAAACGTCGTGAAAGTCTCTGAGAGTATTGCAAATATTGGATCCAGATCCATTCAGAATTGCAGATAAATGACTGGCGGTGAAGGATTCCTCGGCGTGCAGAAAGTCCCTCAAGTATCCCGTCGTCTCTTCCGCGAAGCAAAAGTCGTGAAACTCGTTCAAGTGCGCGGACGCTCCGCCGATTATGAAGCACAAGTCGAATCTCGTGAAGCCGGCGTCGAAAAAGTCATTCAAGACCAATTTCACGTCGCCCTGGTGATTGAAGCAAGTTCTGTGCAGTTGTTTCAGGTTCGCGGACGCAGAGACTCCCGAGCCGATCAACAAGCAAGACAAGTTCCTCGCTCGAAAGCCTGCATTCAAAAAGTACGTTAGCAACAGTGACGGTTTCTTGCCCTTGCGATCGAAGCAAGTTCTGTGGAAATTTTCGAAAGCGTCCTGCACGTGACTGCCCGACCCGCTCAGGATGCCCGACAAGTCGTCCAACGTCAAGTCCGTTTTCTCAAGAAAGCTCTTCAAGTGTTGCGTTTCGTTGCCCTCCTCGTCGAAGAAGATGTCACGCAATTTTCTGAAGGCCTTGACAGCCTTCGTTCCAGCCCCGGCGAGGATAATGGACGCATTCAGCAGAGAGAATCCGTTCTTGGCCAGGACTGTCAGGTACTGCGTCTTGGTGCCCTGCGCGTCAAACCACAGATTGTACAGATCCACAAACACTTTGCAGAGATTGCTTCCGGCTCCGACTAGAATGCTCAAAACGTGATTGAGGTCGATTCCCTCCTTCGCGAAAGTCTCCAGGTACCTCGACTTGTTGCCCTGCTTAGTGAAACACAGACTGTTGAGATTTTTAAACACGCCGACGGCCTTCAACTCCGTTCCACTCAAGGCGCGACTTATAATGCCCAACTTGACTCCCTCCTTCTCGAAAAGTTGGACGTGCTTCCTCTTCTGTCCACTCTTATCAAACCACAATTCGTACAATTCTTTCAAGACTGACGGAGAATTCATCCGCGTTCTGCTGATGATGCCGCAGAGACTCTTCAGGTCGACTCCTTCTCTCTCCAAAGTCTGGAAGAGTAAAGTCTTGTTGTCGCTCTTGTCGAACAAAGAATGGTACAACTGCTTGAAAGTTTTGGCCGCCTGGCCTCCGCACTTGTACAAAACGCCAGACATGTCGCTCAGAGTGATTCCCTCCCTCTCCAGGGCCCTGAGGTACGGAGTCTTCTCGCCGGCCGAGTCGAACCAAAAGTCACACAGGTCCTGGAAAGTCTTTGCCGCATGAACGCCGGCATTCTGCAAAATCTGAGACACTTCGCTCAGGCTGATTCCCTCCTTCTGCAGACGCTCCACGTTCTCGGACTTGTTTCCCTCTGAATCGAACCAAAGATCAAAAAGGTCCTGGAAAATCCTCACCACGTGACTGCCGGAAGTGTACAAGATGTTGGACAGACTGGTGAGCCTCACGCCTTCCTTCTCCAGAGCCATCAGGTAGTGAGTCTTCCGCCCTTCCTCGTCGAACCAAAGGTCGTACAGATTGTAGAAAGTCTTCTTGACCGTCACACCCGAGCCGAACAGAATGGCACACAGGTAGGTTACGTTTATGCCGCTTTCCTCGAGAATCGTCAAGCAGTGGTTCTTGTTCCCTTCCTCGTCGAACCAGCAGTGGAATATCTCCTTGAAAATCTTGACGAAGTTGATCTTTATTCCCAGCAGCATCTTGGTGAAAGTGTTCAGACTTATGTTCTCCTTGTCCAAGACTCGCAAGTAGAGCGTCTTCTTTCCGTTGGCGTCGAACAGCAAGCTGTACAATTCCCTGAAGATCTTGGGCCCGAACGTGTTGGTTTTCGTCAAGACGCACGAAATGCTGCCTATGGTAATGCCGTTCTTCTCGAAGGTGGTCAGCTGCTGGGTCTTGTTGCCCTGCTCGTCGAACCACAGGTCGTACAGGTCCTTGAACGTTTGCCCGGCCTTGGCGCCCGCCCCGCGCACGATTTTGCAGACGTCGTTCACTTTTATCTCGGCCCTGCTCAAGTTCTCCAGACATTGGGTCCTGTTGCCCTGGGCGTCGAACCAGAGGTGGTACAGTTCTCTGAAAGCCTCCGCGGCGCTGACGCCGCACCGAGTCAGAATGCTGGCGACGACGGCCAAACTGATTCCCTCGCGATCCAGGCTCGTCAGGAATTCAGTCTTGTTTCCCTCCGCGTCGAACCACAGCTGGTACAAAGTTGTGAACGCTTGCGCCGCATTGTTTTTCGCCGATGTCAATATTTTAGCAATGCACGAGACATTGATCTTGTTCGCCTCGAGAGTGAGCAGGTACTGCCTCTTGTTGCCCTCCTCGTCGAACCACAGGTCGTAGAGACTCTTGAAATTCTCCGCACCTCTGGAGCCGGACCCGCACAGCACTGTGCACATGTGGCCAAGGCGGATTTTGTGCTTCTTCAGACTCTTCAGGCACTGCGTCTCGTTGCCCTCGTCGTCGAACCAGAGGCTGTAGAGGTCCTTGAAGGCTCTCGCGGCATTGCTGCCCGACCCATGCAGAATGCTCGAAACGGTCGACAGATTTATGCCTTCTCGCTCCAGAGTCTTCAGGTAGAACGTCTTCTCTCCTTCAGAGTCGACCCAGAGATTGTAAAACTCTCGGAAAACACTTGCGGCGACTGGACCTGCGCTGTGCAAAATACTCGTGAGTCTGCACAAGTCTATTCTTTGATTTTCCAAATTCTTCAAGTAATAAGACTTATTTTCTTTCTCGTCGATCCACAAGTTGTACAGCTCCCTGAAGCTCTTCACCGACAAGGTCAACGATCCTTTCAATATAAGTGACATGCCGCCGAGACTGATTCCCTGCCTCTTCAACACGTCCAAGTACTTCTTCCCGTCGCCTTTCACCAAGAACTCCAGCAGCGCGTAATACGAAGGAGTTCCCTCGATCGCGATGCCTCTGCCGAATTTCATCTCCTCGTTGATGCTTCTCACCTGGATTTCGGACTCGAATTTGTTGCCTTTTATCTCCTCCGTTAGCCTGTCCATGACTTCCTTGGACACAGGGCTGAATTTGTAAAACTCGGAGGAACGAATCATTATTTTCTGCACTTCCTCATCAGTGAGAAGAATTCTGTGCCTGTCGATTTCCTCCTTAATGATTCTGTTCAGTTTGTAAGGTTTAAAATCGTTGATGGCGAGCCACAGTCGCTTGAGGAAGGTGTCCCTCCTGAGACCCGGAAGTATTCCCGTTTTCAGTGAGGGCACTGCCTTCAGGAAATTCACTAGATTCTCGGTTCTCTCCTCCACTGTCAAATTAACGCCTGTATTCCTGGACAAACTCTTCATTCCCGACAAATCCATGTCCATCTCATTATTTTGTTGTTGCAGCAAATCCTCATCTAGAAACAGTGCTCGCGTCTTCACCACGATGTCACGTAACACTTGAGTCACGTTTAATCCACTTTTTATTATTTTCTTGAACCTTTTCCTCTTCTCTCTTTGCGAGTCGAAGCAAAAGTTGTGCAGTTTTTCAAATATGGGACAGACATTGACTCCGACTCCAAACAATATTTTGGACAACTCGCTGGCCGTGAAGACGGTTTCCTCGGACAAGAAGTCATTCAGGTAATTGTCCTTGAAACAAACCACGTGGAAATTGACGAACACGAGCGAGGCATTGCTCGCGGACATTGACAGTATGTTGGACAACTCTTTCGCAGTGAAGCCCGCTTTCAGGAAGTCGGTAAAGATCTTCGACTTCTCTCCATCTTGGTCGAAGCAAACGTTGTGGAAGTCTTCGAAAGCGGTACAAACATTGACCCTCGATGCGTGCAGTATTTTCGTCAAGTTACTCACAGAAAAGCCCCCTTCATCGTTCAAGAAATCGTTCAAATAGTGCTTCGTGTCGTCGCTGAAACAAAACTCGTGAAACTTTTCGAGATGGTTTGGCGCTCCACTCAGGAGGCTGCAGAGATTTCCAGGTTTGAAGCGGACACTAAAAAAGTCCCTCAAAATTGGCGATATTTCTCCGTTCTCATCGAAGCAAATGCAGTGGAGTTTCTTGAGAAGAAACGGAGCGCGAGTTCTCGTTCCACTCAGAATGGACGACAAATTGCTGGGCTTGAAGCCTGCTTCGTCAAAGTGAGTCAACAATTCCGACCTGTTGCCTTCATTGTCGAAAAGTAAGTCGTGCAACCCTCTGAAAGCGTCCGTGGCATTCATCCCCGTTCTGCTCAAAATACTCGACAAGTTGTGGATCTTAAAGGGCTTGTAGTCGCCGTCAGCTTTTCTTCCCATAAAGTGCTTCAAATAGTTTTTCTGCTTGCCCCTCTCGTCGAAGAAGGTTCTGCACAGTTGCATGAATGCTCTCGGCGCCTTCGAACCTGCGCCGTGCAAAATGCTCGAAACGTTCGAGAGGCTGACCCCCTCCGTCTCCAGGACTCGCAGGTATTGCGTCTTGTTGCCGTCTTCGTCGAACCAAAGCTGGAAGATGCTCGTGAAAGTCTCGGCCGCCTTGTCACCTGACCCGTTCAGAATGCTGGACAAGTTGGTCAGACTGATTCCCTCCTCCCGCTGAAGAACCCTGAAGCAGTCCGTCTTGTTTCCATCCCGATCGAACCACAAGTAGTAAAAGTCTCGAAAAGCCTTCGCCGCATTCGTTCCAGCTCCGTGCAGAATGCTCGAAATATTCGCCAAATTTATTCCCTCGTCCTTCAAACTGCCGAGGAATTTCGTGACGTTCCCTGCGTCGTCGAACCACAGTCGGTACAGATCCGTGAACGCCGCAGCCGCCTTCGTTCCAGACCCACTCAGGATGCTCGACACGTTCATCAGGCTGATCCCCTCCTTCTCCAGAGCCTCCAGGTAGAGCGTCTTGCTGCCGTCCTCGTCGAACCACAGGTCGTAGAGGGTCTTGAAGGCCGCGACGTTGTTGCCCGATCCGCCCAAAATGCTCGAAATGGTGTTCAGATAGATTCCCTTCGCCTCCAAGTTCTTCAGGTAGTGCGACTTTCCGCCCTCCGCGTCGAACCAAAAGTTGAACAACTCCTTGAAGGCCGAGGACGCGTTGGAGCCGACGCCGTGCAAGATGCACGCGACGCTCGACAGCGAAATGCCCTCGTTCGCCAGCGTCGTCAGGTAGTGAGTTCGCTTGCCGATCGGAGTGAACCACAAGTGGTACAGGTTCCGGAACGACTTGGCTGCGTTCGCGCCCGCGCCGTGCAGAATGCTCGACACATTCGACAACTTGATTCCCTCCGTCTCCTCCAGGTGCGTCAGGTACTGGGTTTTATTTCCCTCCGAGTCGAACCAGAGGTAGTACAGGTTTCTGAAAGCCTTCCCTGCGTTCGCTCCCGACCCGTGCAAGATGCTGGAGAGACTGCTCAGACTGACTCCCTCTTCCTCGAGGGTCTTCAGGTACGGCGTCTTCTTGCCGCTCTCGTCGAACCACAGACTGTAGAGTTCCTCGAACGCGGCGGGGGCCTTCGCACCGGCGCCGCTCAGGATGCTCGACATCTTGGACAGCTTCACCTCCTCCCTCCGCAGCGTCTTCAGGTACCGAGTCTCTTCTCCCGTCTCGTCGAACCAGAGGCGATACAACTCCTGGAAGACGGCGGGCGCTCTGACGCCCACCCCGCTCAGGATGCTCGACATGTTGGTCAGGCTCACGCTCTCCTTGCTCAGAGCCTGCAGACACTGCGTCCTGTTGCCCTCCTCGTCGAACCACAGGTCGTAGAGTTGGGTGAAGGCGGCCGGCGCCTTGGCCCTCGTGCCCGTCAGAATGCTGGCCACGGTCGTCAGACTGACTCCCTCCCGCTTCAGAGTCTTCAGATATCGAGTCTTCCTCCCCTCGCTGTCGAACCACGTGTGGTAGAGGTTCTTGAATGCGTTCGGCGCCTCCGACTTCGATTTATTCAAAATGCTAGAAATGGTGGACAGACTTATTTTCTCGCGCTCCAAAGTCTTCAAGTACTGTGACTTGTTTCCCTGCTTGTCGAACCACAGGTCGCACAACTCTTTGAAGGCTGCCGCCGCCTTGCCCCCTGACGCGCCCAAGATGCTGGACAAGTTGTTGGCACTTATGTCGTGTCTCTTCAGCACGGCCAAGTAGTGGGAGCCTTCCTCTTCGAACAGAAACTGCAGGAACTGATTGAATGCAGCGGTCCCCTCGCTGCCAACGATGCTCTTGGCGAAATTAATTTCCGCCGTTCTGCTGCTGCTCTCAACTTTCTGGAGACTGGACCGACCAGACTCTACGTCCTGCAAGAGCTCCCGCACAATGTCTTTGGTGATTGGTCCGAACGCACGGGACTCCAGCCAGCGCAAAACTACTTCGCACAACTCTTCGTAACTGTAGGGACTGTCAGTCGAGTCGACTTCTGATTTCATCGTTTCGCTCACTTCTCCGGGCTTCAGTTGATCGACGGCGAAAACCAGCTTGTCGAGAAACTTTTCTTTCAACTCCATTTCCTGCTCAATAGAAAGCCTTCCCTCGTCTCTTTCAGTTTGCAGAGAGAGCGGCAACTTTAACTGATTGAAAACTATTTCCCTAGTCTCTCCTTCGGCAAACTGATAGAGACCTTTCTCATTGACACACGCACGTTTCAACATTTTAAACTTCTTTTCCCCGAAATCAATAGCTGTTAATTTTAATGAACAGTAATCCTTTGATCTCCCTTTCTTTAATGTGTTCTCAGTTGTCAGTTCGAGTTTGCCGTTTGTGTAGAGTAAATAGTACTTGACATCTTTCGCCGAGTCTTCGAGAAAAGAAGAAAAGTGCTTATTAATAGAAAAAATATCCCTTTCTCTCCTTCTCCTGGCAGAAAACAACTGAGCGTAATCGATATTATTATCCGCTTGAAAAGCTCTTACTGAGATAATTTTACCTTTATAATTGACATCGATATTGTAAGTGGACTTTTTCTCTTCAAAATTAACGGAAAGAACTTTTTTGTGCAAAAACATGTCATGAATGAAAAACACGAGTAAATTGAAACTGTACAGAATGTCAGGCACAGTTAGAGAATTCACAACTTGTTTATTATTGAGGGGAGCTGACAACTTTTTCAAAACCTTTTCTTTAAGCCTCGTGTAGTCTTTACTGATGACGTCGTTTTCTTCAATTTCACTCTTGACGATGGTCGCTAGTTTCTCTCTGCTCGGCTGATTGACTGCCAAAACAAATTTGTCGAGAAAAGCTTCTTTCAACACTTCCTCCGAAAATTCACTGTTACTTATTTCTCTCTTGATGGGAGCGGAAAAATCTAGCCTCCTCAAAAGTTCCTCTCTAGTCGTATCATCTTTTAGAAATTGATAAAACTCGCATTTATTTCCTCTCCTCTGACAATCATCATCCTCATCATCATCGCCATCGTCGTCATGGCCATTGGTAACCAAAAAATCATGAAAACCCGTGACATTGTCAAAATCTACGCTAATGAGTTGGAATGGATAAAATTTTCTGGCTCGAGTCTGATTCAATTTCCCGTCTATTGTGATGTCTAATCCGTAATTCGTGTAGACAATAAAATACTCTGACTGATCTACCGCACAATTTGAATCGTTGATAATGCTCTTGACAAAATTATTAAGATAATTGTTCATTGAAAAATTTCCTTTAACTTTAGAAAATAATATATCATAACCAAGTTCATTGACAACATAAAACTTGTCAACATATTCAACTTGAACTCGAAAACAAGTTTCCGAAAGACTAAGCACAACATCATGAAAGTGAGCGCTTTGAGAATTTTTAAACTTGACAACTGCGGGCGAATACTTTTCCTTGTGCCTAGATTTTCTGAGTAAGCACAAAATGGACAATTCCAACCGGAACATTAACGCAATTAAACGATGAGAATAGTGAAAAGCAAACTGTTCAGTTGCACAGGTACTGTCGATTTCGTTGGTCAACGTTTCATCAAACTCATCTTTTGAATTGAAGCAAGAATTCGCGCAATTGATTTCTGTGCGCGGTCGTTTCGATTCATCGCAAATGACCAAGGAAGAGTTTTTCCGCTTTGCAGATTTCAAGCCTGATGCTTTTGTATCAATGCCATTTTCATTGAGCAATTGTTTCTTAGGGCTTTGTGATCCAACTCTGTCATCATCTAATAAAAGAAATTATTTCATTTTTTAGAAAAATATTAATTAATTAATTATGTAGGTATTAATAAATATCTAAAAACGTACCACTTTCTTCCTGCAAATAGTCTGGTGGATATATAGTTTGATCTTCTTCCTCTTCGTCTTCATAACCATTTTCATAAAATACATCTTGCTCAGTTAAAGAATAATTTACTTCTTCATCTTCAGATTCGTTTGTTTTCAATACTTTTGTGGGTTTGTCGTAATCCTCATTATAGGTATCACGTCTTCTTTTGGAATCCATAATCATCTACTCTTAGAGGATCTCCTTTTATAAACAAGAAAAAAGTTTATAAAGTAATTTTTCTAATTACTAATGTACTATATCTACTTTCATTCAGTCCATTCACACCAGCAAATTTCTCCTTTTCTTTTATGTTTTTATTCTCTATAAAACAATAATCAGAAAAGTTTTTTGTATGCAAAAAAATTAAAAAAAAAAAAAAACAAGATTATACAAGTGTTGGATATTAGGTAAGTTGTTATATCAAAATTAAAACGTAGCATGTACTAAAAATTATGACTCTTCTTTTTTAAATTAGACACGAAAATTATTTAATTTATAAAAAATAATATTAAATTTAAATAGATACTTACATTAATTGAAAAACACTTTTTTTTTATATATCTTATCAACTTCGGCATATCAACAAGTGACGATCGAAATTATTGTTCATAATCTTAACTTAAAAGTACAACGTAACTAACAAAAGACACAATTATTTTTTCACAAATTTTGTATATTTATTTTTCAAACACTATTTATAATGTATGCTTCTGTTTTTTTGTACAAAATGTAGAAAAAGAATATACAAAAATAAATATTCTACACATATACTTGATGAAAATTGTGCACGTGTTTTGACAACTGAATGCTGCCATGAAATATACGCTTGCAAGAGTTGAAACCACCAACATAATATGCAGGCCAGGGTTGGGAACATTAATGAAAAGTCAAATGTATACCTGTGAACTCTACTTAAATTTCTCGTAGGTATGCGCAGAAGGCTACTGCGACTTTTTTTTCTAATTTTTGAAATTCTCTATGATAATTGGAAATAATTCATTATTAAAAGAGTTTAGTTTAGATTAATTTAAAAAAACAAAACACTTTGGCAATTTTGAAGAAATTTATTTTCCCTGAATACATTATTTATACGTATTATTACTTGATTAAAAACAGTTTAAGTTCTAGTATCTCATCAGTTTATAAAAACTCCACCTGGAAAATATTTGAAAACAATTTGAAAAGAGTTAATGAATAACTATTAGTTGCTTTGTTTGTGCAAAATTCGCGGTGGAGAAGTAATACTTGTGCGATATATAAATGTACCTATATAGTCTATGTAATAAATAATTGTAAACCGATAACAACTTAAAAATAATAATCCAACTTATTGCTCCGTCAATTAATTAACTAGTTTCTTATTCTTTTGGGGCAAGTATTGTCGTCTTATACTCTTGTCACTGGCTTTAATATACGGGATGTAGTTGGTTTTAAAAAAGCTTCTTCAATTAAGGCGATAAGACCCTGAAGGACTTTGTTCTCGTCTTCCTGGTGATAATATAAAATCGAATCGAGCATTATAATAACCGCCATCACAATCACAGAAAATGTTCAAACGTCAATAATACTGTTTCGCTTCTTGTCTACGTCAGTTACGTCTAAATCGTTTCCTAAACTTCCGACTCTTCTCACTTGTCCGGTCGCCTTCAACTTTTCCTGCATTTGAGCCAAAATATCCTGCATTCTGCGAATCTAAAGAAATTAGAAACAGTGGTTAGTGAGAGGTTAAATTTCAATTAGGTATGAGCTACGTTCACATGGTTCACATTACCTCTTCATCCTTTTGCAAAAGTAGTCTGTCAGTTTCAGAAATATTGTTGTCGAAATGCGGACCGGAATCTCTTTTTAGCTTACTGAAAATGAAAATTTTAAGTTGTGTGCGATTTCATTTTGCAGCAAAAGTTAAAAGCAGAAAAACTATGAAGAAGTAATTTCGTTTTTCTCTGATGCTAATGATTTATGTTCAAGTGCCAAAGACTCTTTGTGTTGTACAAACATATATAATGATGTATAAAATAATATTATTTACATGCGTAAATACCTCCTTTCCCGGATCGCCTGCTGGGATATTTGGGAAATGCATTGAGCACGGAAGTTTTCATAGTGCACATCTTGCGTGACATCTTTCAAGTCTTGCATATGCGTCGAAATTAACATTGTCCTTAGTTTCACGAAATCGCTGTGCTTCGGATTCTCCACTGAAAGAGAGGGGAATGAAATTGCGATGTTGGAGAGAACCTCTTTTAAGTAGAAACAAGTACCTTCGACAACTCCCCAAGGATACTGACGTCCGCGAACTTTCCGCCCAGCAACTTCTAAAACTGTCGAACTGCCTACAACAGCGAACGGCACACACGCCTTCAACTCCTTGTCCTGTTGCTTGAATTCCTCATCTTCGTCACTGTCGCAGTCGGGGAACTGATAAATCTAGTAAGAGAAGACAAACAAGTATCAACACCTCGTTTCAGAATTGTCAAAAAGGAGAACGCCTTCATTTGTACCTGAATTTCATGTTCCTCAATGTCAGAGAGAATTCGTTCCTTCAGCTTCTTCACTTCCTGCGTGGTGAGAGTGTCCGCCTTGGCAATCACTGGCACGACGTTTACTTTGCGATGCAATCTCCTCAGCACCTCCAGGTCCACTTGCCTCAGCCTGCATTGCAATTTCGTGCATTAATAAGACTTTCGTTCACTTTGTGCATTGAGCGAGGACGACGAGAAACTCACCCATGTCCGTAGGGGGGGATGAAGTAGAGGCAGCAGTGCACCCTGTTGTCCTGGATGTTCTTCCTGTTCAACCCGCTTTCGTCCGTAAAGTACTGTCGAAATTGCTCGTCGATATATGACGAACAGGCCTTCCACGTGTCCTCGCAATTCACCGAATCTCCAAAGCCTAAGGTTGGGCATTAGGAACACTAATAAGTCGCAATCACATCAATCAATAACAAAGTCCCGAATATGAATCAAAATTTATTACCCGGAGTGTCGACGATGGTTAATCGCAATCTCACTCCTCGCTCCTCAATATCCATGGTCTTCTTCTCAATGGACGTTGTCTTTTCTATTCGTTCTAACAAAAATGTAATTATTTTTTACTTTCGATAAAACTGTTATTGAATCCTATTAAAAGAATGGAGAATAATTTTACCAGAGACATCGGGAATTCGCCGATCTTTATAGAGGTCTCCAAGGAAGAGACTGTTTATTAGGGTCGACTTTCCCAAGCCAGTCTCACCCAGGACCATCAGCGTGAATTCGAATCCCCTTTTCACTGATTTCCTGTGCACTTGTTCCGGGAGAGTCGCAAATCCAATATAGTCCCTGTCTTGCTGAAACAAATTTAACTCGATTTTAAATGGGTTCCTCTTTTTATCATTGCTTTTCAATTGCTGTCAATTGATAAAAGTGCTTTTAATACAAATCTTGCAATTGTCATCTCCACTGCAATAAATCAGTAAAAACGATTTTTCGAGCATAACAATTATTTTATTTTTAAACAATTCATTTTTAGTTTACCTTTACTGCAAGTTTTTCAATATTTATATAAAATCATACTAATTGCAAAAGTTATTCTTAAAATCAATCAAGTTTATTAACACAAATATTGTTATTAGAAATTATAAAGATGCGAGAAAAAGGGAAAGTAAAAACAAATAATTGATGTCAAAAATTGGAAATAGTTTTTTAAAAACAGTTCAACCCAAAAAAACTAGTTCGGTTAAAAAAAAATATATTTATTTTTTGAAAGAAAATAAAGCAAAACGTATTGACCTTATTTATTTGCAAGAAACAGTCTTTCTGAGTAAACGGTGCAAAAGAATCATTATAAATACATAATAATAAAGGAGATAATTTGTCAACTTGAAGAATATTGGAATAAATATTCGTAGGAATTGAATTTTCGTCAACAGTTTGAAAATACGTTTTTAAAAGAAAACATACAATATACTTTACAGTGCCAGAGAAACGTGAAATTATCCTACGTAAGAGTCATTAAAAACAAGTATACATAAGAGGAAAATCTGTAGTCAATCAAGAAAAGTGGTGTTTGGCTAATAATTATTGAGGAAAACAATAGTCGGAATACAATAAGACTTTTGTACTTACCGCCTGACATTGTGACAGCAATAACAAACAACACTAGCCGGCAGCTCGGCTAAATCCGAGTGTTTAGGGTGGGCGAAGTGCGTCCCTTATTACAAATTGTCAAGACGAGCGACTGGGCTGCGCTGGCGCACCCTCGCACTGTCGAACTGTCGATCAATAGTGACCTTTGCAGAGCCAAAATCATTTTCCGAGCTTTCCTCATCCTTCACTCAATTCAAAGTGTCGACATTCTTAATGTTGTTCCAATTGCAAACACTTTGGATATCGCTGAGCCTTACATTCTCACACGAAACAAAACTATTCTTCTTTTTTTCACTTCTATACTGATAAGCTACTTTTTAAATTGCGAAATGACTAAAAATTTATTCCTTTTACGAGAAACACGAAAAACCCTTTTTAAAATTTGAAAAACGTTCTAAAATGTCAAATTTGACACTTTACCAACAATGAAATCCAATAAAAATTTATTTAAATGTCGTGTTGAAGAAATATAACTTATCTTTTATCAATCATGTAATATTTTAATTACTTATCTTTTTTTTTATTATAGAGATTGCGTAAAGTAAACAATATAATATACCTACATACTTATTGTTTTCTCAATGTTTTTAGTAAATACTTTGGATAGATATAATTAATTTCCTTTTTATTTTTATCTTGGATTTATTTTTACAGAGAATACAAGGTGATTGACAGAAAATATGTCTACCTCAAGGGAGACAAAAGAAGAATTTTAGGGATCGGACGCCATTGTTTGGTACAATAGGTAGGTACTGTAAACTCAAAAGAAAGTGGTCGACTTTAATACAATTTACTATGAAAATAAATATAACAGTAAGCACACAAGCGTGTAAAATATGTATTACTTGTACGATTGCGTTGTGTAACATTTACAATATAGTTGACAATAGTTTCACTCTATTCCTTAAGCCATTATTTTATTTGCTTGCGATAGAAGAATATTTCATTTCCACTTAATTTCAAGTCGCCAAAAAAAGTTGAACCTTTTGTTTCTTATTTGTCTCGGTAAGTAAAAAGTAAAAATTAATTGAAACATACAATGCTCCTTTCAACAATATAATATTCAAAAATATGTAGTACATTTCAAAGCGAGTGTAATTTTTTCTAAATAACGATTTTCAAGTCATAGCCGCCTTAAAAAAATTGCATGATATTCATTAAATTGTCAAGTACAATTAGCTGTACTGTAATTTTAGTTTTGTGAGTTATTGTAAGAATTATATTTGTCACCTGAAAACAAGACCTTCAAAAAATTTGAAAAGTAAAATCCAGCTCGTATCACAGACAGCTTCCGCTTAAGTACCAGAAAGAAGCTTCGAAGATTGAAAAACTGACGCGTGCTTCTTTGTGTAAATGATGAGTCTCTGCTTTACGAGGAATGGCGCAATTGCTGCATCGGTGCATTGTTATCTTTGAAAGATAAGTGCGCTATACATTTTTCGCATTTTCAATCAGTTCTTCGGAGTAATAGTAAGGGTGGCTCTGAGGCTATTTACACATTCATTGGGGAGTGAATACCATCCTTTTGTTTTAATCTAGACGAGTGGGGATTCAGGATTCACCGGCGGAAGGCTACGACCAGGAGAACCAGGACCGAGCACTCGCTTGGGTCGGACTCTTGCACGTCGGAGAAGATGGAATGGAGCTGGTGGGCGAAGGGGGAATCGATTCTTCAGTCTTTACCTCTAATCCTTGAATTTTGGCCTGCACTTTCTCATTCGTTTCAGCCTGCATCTTCTCCTCGTACTTTCTCACGTCCTGCAGAGTCATGTCGTGCCACTCGTCGATCCAAGCGAACGCCTGACGATGGCCGAGCAGCAGAATGTCTCGAATACACTAAACAAACAGTAAGCAACATTTTCATTCCATCCATTGTATATGTAAATTGCAATTGCATGCAAGAGGCAAACTCACTCGTTGGACAAAGTCTTCAACTCGAGTCTGCATTCCCCAAACTTCGAAGGAAGCATTCACCACTTTGTAGGAGCACATAATTGGTTGTGTTGTGTCTTTCCACCCTTCTATCAACGGACCTCGACCAGTTAGTTTCGATTGGAAGAACTTTGGATCCTAAATGGAGTAATGCAGTGTCTTTACAATATTGTCGTCTTTTCTTCTATCTGTATTTGGACATATTTTAGATTTATTAAAAGATTGAAGATGAAAATTTACCTCCTCCTCTTTATAATGCTTGGCAGTTATTTCGTCATATGCAATATCTATAAAATCGAGTTCTCGATGCACAAGTTCTACGGGTGATAAACCTAAACACTGTCAAAAAATCATTTATTAGAAATTTTATTTTTTTTTTATTCTCTGGTCTATATAATAAATGAATAACTCACATTCTCAGTGGAACCATTGTTATCCTCATACCGTGTTTTAATGTAAATTTGAAACTTGGGAATGAATGAACACTGCAAATAAAATGAATTGTGTCATGGAATACCGCGTTACCGCTTCATCACAACAGTGTAAGTTATAATGTAAAATCAAGTACTTACAGTATACTCTGAGAGGCCAATAAAGACATGCAAAGAGAAAAATTCCATCATTATAGCCATAGGTGTGAAAATTAAAAAGGAAGATGCAAATAGAGAAAATACACTTACCCGTTATTGTGAATGGATAATAATTCCACGCCTTTTCGGTAACGTAAAATATCCTTGGGATTATTGACTGTATCCAGTACGGCAGTTTGCTGAAAAACATTGATTATGCACAAGCTAACGCATAGAATTTTTAATTCGAAACAAATACCTAGAGAAAACAAGACTTACCTCGAGAGATGGATTCTTTTTTCTGTGTATCGACCCTTTCCATGTGTGGGATCCTCACACTCGCAATTCTCCACGACTTCTACGCCTTCGTCGTGGTCAGATTGTTCATGACTGTGTCGAGCAATCATGTAAAGCTGGCCAATTCGATACTGGTTGGGTTTGAAAAAAACAATTATTTACTATGTATTCTGATTAGGATCGATTTGTTTACAATATGTAACAAATGTCCTATACACTCAAAAGACGGAATGAAAGAATAAATTAAATAATATTCGATAAGACGCAATTGTCATAATCGTATTGAAAGATAATAAGAAATTGGTAATAAAAGTTGTAAGTTTTTTTTATAAATAAAAAATCGTAAACAAAAAACATTACCTCTTCGACAGTGAGGGGCATACAAATTCGATATTCCTTTGTTAGAACCATATTAAAGTGTTTCTTTCGAAACTTTGTAAGAAAGTTTACTTTTTCCTCGCTTATAGTTAAATACACAAAATTTGTAAATAATGTTTAAAGTTATTTAGTTTATAATTATAACCTGAAGCCGACAGAAAAGCAGAAACAGTGAGAGCGCGCCGCGATCGTCAGCGACAGACGACACACACACACCTATTGACTTGAAGTTTGCAGCGTTCAGAAAATCGATACATACCAACCTCTAAAAAAAATAATTGATAATTTTTTTCAATTAAACTTTTTCTTATTCTTCTTGTTATTGTATACTTATTGTTTATTATTATAAAAATGCAATTGACAATAAATAATAAATTAGTGTAGTTGAAGAAACAATATTTATTTAATAAAATAATAAATTGTAAATGTTGTAATTTTGAAATTTCGCGCGGTTTAGAATGTTTTGAATTTTTCTTTTCCGATATTGGTACAACTTGTTGAACTGATTATCGGCAATGTCGTATCTTACGTGTGTAATCTTTTAAGGTTGGAGTTTTTGGGAGATCGCACCAGAAATACAGAATAGGTAGTTGTGTAAAATTGTTAATAGGAGAATAAAAGTGTATTAATGTAAAAGGTTGCAAGTCAGTAAAACACTTCGTGATGTGGATAATGAAACATTTAAGATAACGTTGACTTTCGTCATGTTGGAAAGCAGACGAGTAGCGATGTAGCCAGAAAGAAGAGAAATAAAATAAAGAATAGGCAACATCTCACTGAGAATTATAAAGGGGATAAAATCCGAGACAAGTTCGTCTTCTAAATTCTCGCATGAAATGGCTTATCAAAGTTTGCGGCAGGAGTATCTGCATATGCCTGTCGTCACACGGGCTTACACGACTGCATGTGTCATCACTACTCTCGCAGTTGTAAGTACTTCATTCTACTCATTATTGATTTCTTTTTATTTATTCTTGTCAATTCGACTTGTCATTTCCTCCGGCTGGTCCATTTCGCTCCACATTTTACTGAAATTCATCCATATGCAACATTCTACGAGGATGAGCAATTACCTATACTCATGCTCAGAGTTTGTTTACGAATCAACGAATCCCAGCGAGCCAAGTGACAGAAACGTCACACATTCCGTTTCGAACATCTTGTTGTTTTTCTACGTATTTATTTTCCTTCAATTTTTTCCAATCTTGTGCTTCTAATTTCGACAATCAAAATTATTAATAATTTTTATGTTTAAACAATATGAAAACAATGTTTAAATACAATACTTGCAATTAAGAATAAATGCACATTTAATAAGAAGGCAAAAATTAGCCAAGGAAATAGAGTGATAATTAGATATTTATTTGAAAAAAAAGATCAATTGACTACGTAAATTCTAACAAAATTTTTCAAAGATATATTAATTTTCATTCTTTGAAAATAACATATAAAAGCCGTTGGACCAAATCTTTTTATTATAAAAATTTAAATTTATCTATGTCATGTTAGCCTCTTCTTCTCTATTTGTTTTTTTAAAATTGATAGTTGAGGTATTTTTTCCAGGTATGTTAGTGGATTGCTTTTTAAGTTACATTATTGTCTTGTCTTATTTCTTTTAATAATTTGGAATTATTTAAAAGAAAATGACATTATGCTACTTTTAACAATGTACAATTAAGGGTTTATTTTGCAGCAACTGGACCTCGTGTCTCCATTCCAACTCTATTTTAATCCAATTTTAATAATCAAGCGATATCAGGTATGCATGAAAATTGACAAACTTGTTTATTAATAATACAATTGAGAAATCCTTTTAATAATAAGAATTGGCTTTCAGCTATGGCGGTTAATAACGACATTCCTCTTTTTTGGAACTATTGGATTCAATTTTGTCTTCAATATGATATTTACGTACAAATATTGTCGGATGTTGGAGGAAGGTTCTTTCCGAGGAAGGACGGCTGATTTTGTGATGATGTTTCTTTTTGGAGGCGTATGTATGATTGTATCCTTGAAAAGCAACATTTTTCCAGAATCCAGAATTATTTTACTTTACTTAATATTTATCATTTTAATTATACAACAGACATATAATAATTTGGGCTACTATTTTGCTCAACACTTTAATATTATTATTTTCTAAGCCTAGTCGAAAATGGTATTAAATATTTTTCCTATAAAAAGATGTAGTTCTTGGCATTTTTTGTTAATTTATTATTTCTGGGACATGCGTTTACGATAATGTTAGTGTACGTCTGGTCGAGACGAACACCATTCGTGAGAATGAACTTTTTTGGACTTCTCAATTTTCAGGTGACTATTTCGTTGGACTTATTCAAACTGTTTCTAAATTAAATGCCAATTTCGAATCCATTTGTTTTGTAGGCTCCATACTTGCCTTGGGTGCTTTTGGGATTTTCAGTTCTGCTAGGCAATGCCATTTGGGTCGATCTTATTGGCATAGCAGTAGGACATATATACTATTTTACCGAGGACGTATTTCCTCGACTGCGAGGAGGATTTCGCATCCTCAAGACTCCACAAATACTGTAAGTAGCGGACACTAAATAAACGAACTCAATTGATGACAATGCATCATGCGGATTGAAAGAATCTGACAAAGTAGTTCCAAGTTCGGACTAATAGGCAACAAGAAGAAATTGTTGCTATTTTTTGTCCTTGGGTGGCTTTATTGTCGTATCACAATTGATGTTTAGATCTTTGCAATGTTGCAGAAAGACTCTGTTCGATGCGCACAATGACGATCCAGATTTCACTCCACTTCCCGAGGATAGGCCTGGAGGTTTCAATTGGGGACGGGCAGCCAACGTTCAGTAGTGAACGTGTTTCCTACGACAAAATGAAGAATATTTTGCTGCATTAGGATGGAACAGATTTTGCATTTCGTCAGACTGTCTCTATTCTTAAAATACAAGCAGCAAGTTCTCCATCAGTTTGTTACTATATTTTTTGTATACATATAAGTGCGCAGTTAATGTGGAACTATCTGTTGTACATTGTAAATTGTAGTCAAAACATTTTACTTGTTTGTTTCATCTGCCGTCGACATCGGTTCCGGAAAATCTCAAGTGCATGTACTTTGTATTTCACACACTACATGCATCATGTATCGAGCAAGTATTGTTCAAGTAATGTCGTTAAAGGAAAGTGTAAGTTGTATTTAATTTTATATAAGTGCGCTACAAGCAAAACAAGTCATCAAAAGTAAAATAATAATAATAATAATAATAATAATAATAATAATAATAATATTGTGGGTGATGTCAATATTGTTCATCATCAATGTAGCGTTTTGGAATGTACAAAAATTCATTAAAAATTTATATTTGTTAATGGTTGAAATAAGTGTTTTATTTTGTGAGCTAATCAATCGATCACAAGTGCTTTACGAGAATGTCTACTGAGAATAATGTTCTGTTTGAGAACCTCTTTTAAAAAGGAAGTAGGACAACTTAAGTAGGTACTCATTAGTTTCAAATGTTTTCGGTCGTATTGAACCCGTAATTTTAAAAATCTGATTCTAGATTCTTAATTAATCAGTCAAGTTTGAAGTTTCACTAGTATGGCCCTAATTATAAAGCATCTTTTTTTCTTGCTATCAATATTTTTCTACCCTCTAGTTGTTTGATTCAAGTGTTACTTTCAAGTGTTACTTTGATCCCACAGGTCAATTTAAATTTTGAACTTGAAAAAACTGTTACAAACAGAATAATGTACTAATATTTATTGAATATATTAATGAGTAATATTTAGTAGTTTCATCCACACACATTGCACACTTTTTTAAATATGCTCTTCACCGTAAATGTAAATATTGTTTTAAGAAATTCATCCACGTGTACTACAAGGTCAACTGACAACAGTATTATTTGTTTATTCCTGAATAGATATTTATGAAAAAAGATGTGTACTGAAGCTGCCACAACCACTATAACTTATTGATAGTTTTTTGCCAAAAGAAAATTGAACAATTTGAGTCAATTTCACTGTTCAGGTGACTAACATGGCGCAAAATTTGTTTTGACTTTTTAATTTTAATTGATTGGTTTATGAAAGCAAAATTAATATAAGGATTCCTAATCATTTCAACTGAGATCCTGGTATGCGAGTCCTGAGAATTTTTTTGGTGAATTACTCAAAAAGTATGCGTGTCATAAATTTGCTCTTGACTCTGTTTATTGATAAAATTTTACAATTGTATCAATAGAACAAAATACATAGTATCAATGGCTAGTATTTGTAGACCAACAAAACTTTTTATTAAACAACCTGAACTAATACATATAAATAATTTATCAAAAAAGTGAAGGTGGGAATTTTAATTATCAATTGGTAAGAAATTTTAAAAATATAAGTAAACAGAACTAGTCTTATTAGTCTAACGCTGCTTGTGCAATCAGTTTAAACATTTGGGTTTTTCAATTTTATAACTCTACGATCATTTAACATAAATAAAATTGTGCAAGTGGCATAGTAAGTATAATTGAGATGTATATTTAATTTAAAAAAAATGTAATTCACCCAGATATAGCACTGCTTATCTCAGAAAGTTATCTGCACAGAACTTATCATGGAAAACTTGCTTCCTGGAAAAAGGTGCTATCTGGGAAATTATATCCTTTCGAAATTGTTATATTATAGCTGATAATTATTTGGAATTAGATAAAATTGTAGTTTTTAGAGTTATAGAAAATGTGATGACAATTTAATAGCATTCTTTAGAGTTGTGCAGTAAAACAGATTATATTATATTTTACAGATACATCACGCGGTTATAACTTTATAGATTATAACAAAGTGAAAATACTGAGATTGCAAAATGAATGCATTTACTAGATATAATGATGTCTTGCAAACAGTGCAGCTTATACCAATTTTCACTTACTTATACGCACTTGGTGAGTTTTTGGTGATTGAAAATTTCTTGTCAGAAGCCAATGAGACTAAACCGATTCCCACTGTTAATGCTCTGTACGAATACTTGCAATACCATCGCTACAGTCCACACATGAAAGATAAGTTGATTCGACGATTGCTGCAAGGCAGCGACCTTTACGGAGCAAAATCCTATGAAAAGTGTGACGTCACTTTTGCTAACGCCGTGTTCGAGTACATCGTCAGTTCTCTAGTGTTCGACAAGTACCACACTGTCTACGGGTTCTTGGCAGACGTCTTTCTTCGGGCAGAAAATCTGCAAGTAGACAATGTCTTGAGGATGATAAAGGAAACCCTTGCGAGTGCATCGTTCGAGAACGAATACGGCGAGAGCTCGGTTCTAGCTCCCTTCTAAGTGACCAGAATATACTACGACATCATGTTGCCGATGTTTCCTCAACGGGAAGCGAACATCAGCCTAGTGGCTCTTGACTACATTCACGCCCAAGCTGGTTTCATGTTCCTTCGTCCTGGCCGGACACACACCGAATACTATTCCGATTTCAAAGACTACGCGGCTCCAAGCATTCCAGATAGGGATAATTTCTTCGACGAATTCCTGGTGACCGGACATGCCATTGGAAATTTACTCCAAACTCGGAAGAAGAATCTCAAAATGTTGAAAGCTTTCGCGCTTCCGGCTCTTGCCTACTACATTTTTAATTTTAAATATTTGTACATATATGAAGACGTATCGAGTATCGTTTCCGATTCCACTTTTTGGCAGTCGGCTTTCAAGTTTCTATTTCAACACACAACTAAAGCTTTTGACGACATAAAACTTAAATTAGACAGTGACCACAACTTAAAATTGAATTTGGCACTTTCCAGTTTCCAAAGTCCTTCTTCATTGGCAAACACGTTTATGAGCTTTTATTGCTCTGAATTTAATGTAACCGCATTTCTAAAAGATCCTAAAGGCAATAACTGCGGAATTAAAAACCATGTATCTAAGATAAGCAAGTTACTAGAGAGGCAAGTCGACGAAATCGTCAAGCTTTACGAAACATACGATTTTCATTTGGTCCAAGCAGCTCTCGATGAGTGTCCAATCCATTTCCCAAAAGACAGTCAAGTTACTGGAAAGTTGTTAATTCCTCATGACAATGTAGCCGATGGTCATTTTTCAAACTCCAAACAACTGCCATATGACGTGGTCGAATTTTATTTTGCCAAAACTCAATCTTTCGATTACTATATGTTGGTGCGAGAAAACTATAATGTAACATTAATCCAGAAAGCTAATAATCAACAACTTTTTGAAGAAAAAATTGGTTCGTCTTTTGAAAAATTTCGCAGTGAAGCGGTACATGTAATTTTAAAGAATATTAGCGAGAGCATAGACGACACTTGGAAGAACCTGATCAGATACAAAGGAAAACGACTGCAATCGTATCTCAAGTTTTGTGGCGTTGTTCGCCAAGGCAGTCAAAGGTCGTGGAAGAGAAATTGGTGGAAAGAATTTGCTCTGTCCATGGTGCCATTTTTTCCCTGTCTAGCAGGCGCTTCTGGCGCCGTGCACGGAAAGTACAGTTGTGGAGTAAATATTATAGACATTTTAGATAAATTACAAAACGAATCGAAATTAATCACAAACAAAGAAACTGAATCTTTTCTCTTTTCCCATGGAACAACTATTAAATCTGTATTTTTAAAGAATGAAAATGATCAAGTAATACATCAAGTCGTAACACTGGAAGAAGAAGAAGAAGAAGAAGAAGAAGAGGAAGAGGCTGGAATTCCGAAACTGAATGAAGAAGAAATATGGAAGCATTTCAGTTTACACCTAGAAGAACCTGCATTCGAAGTAGCTGTTATAACAGAAGACGAAATACGTTTAGTGAAGGAAATAATTAGTGCTGTAGAAGGAAAGTTTAATTTAAATGTTCAATATACCAAACAAAGTCTCTCCAAGATGGCACTTTTAAAGTCAAGTAGTTTTAGAAACGTCGGTGCCAGTGAGACTGGGAAACGTTTAATTTTCGTCAACACACTTGACAGTGAGAGTGCTACTGGTTATGGCTACAAGTTTCTTTTTGTATCCACGGGCACTGCGGAAATTGCACAATTGAGAACTGATTATGATAGCAAAGATGATATATTTCTGATGCCAACTCAAGATAACAAGACAGTATATGTTGTATTAAATAATGCAAGTCTGGAACGAGAGCCCGATAGTTTAATGTACCAAGTGAATAATCAATTTCGAAGGAAATTCATTAATGTTTCATTCAGTGGAATATCAAGCTATCATGATGATGAGAAATGTGAGGATAAATATTATATTGGAAACTTGTTGCCGTTGAATGTCTGCGACAGAAAATGGCGGTATGAAAGCATGGTCAACAATGAAGAAAAGGCCATAATGCTATTGAGGAACAAAACGAGTCTTCCTGAAGCACTAATTCGCAGTACTTTTGGAAAGTACGTGTTTGTAGACGTGACGGCTTTATGGGAGTTTGCAGTAACTTGGATGAATGACAAAAAATTGAAAGAACCTGATTACAGTGACTTCATAGTGAACGATCCCGATCTTCTGAGGAATCTGAGGTACAGCTTGCGCCTTGAAAACCACACCGTCTCGGAATTTGACGGTAAGTTCAGAACAAATTTGATTTACACGCCCAAAGAAAGACTGAGAATCGAAGAGGGAACCTCGATAACGAATATAGAAGGCAGTTTACTCTGTCAAGTTTGACGAATACTACGCTATTCGAAATTACGCGACGACAGGCTACACGAGAATTGCAGGAGACACGCGCGAGGCGAAGCTGATGAAGATTGCTCTGTACAAGCTGGCCATAAGACAGTCTGACAACCCAGAAGGCGAATTTGAAGTTAAATTGTTTAGTTTGGAAACTAAGCATGTTGATTTTGTCAAGAAAGTGTTGGCTACTAAAAAAAGCGTAACTCTGGAAAAGTTCACATTGTCCCACATAAGTGTAACGTCCGCTATCAGGTTCGCTTCTTACGCAGCACCTGGATTCATAAACGTCATTTACGAAATGGCATTTAGTGGGCGATATTTAAGAGCGAAATTAGAACAATTTGGTGCGTCTAGAGAAAAGCTGGCAGTTCTCTTGCCTGGCAGTGAGTTTGCCATTGCAGATAATGACACGGTGCAAATTGGTGGATTAGGTCATGTTCTGAAATTAAAGTTGACTTTTCAACAATGCAGGGACAATCATATATGGTACAAAAATATCCTCAATGAAATTGCCCGTATTAACCTTTAAAATGACAAAAAGGTATATTAAATTTATACATTTGTAGTAACTTTAAAAAATGTACACTGAAGAGAAAACTTGACATTTTAATCTTGAAAATAAAAAAATATTTAAAATTGTTAATCCTAAGCAAAGTGTTTCTAGTTTTTGATCCACCCTATTAGAAACTAGTAAACATAACAATTTTACCCTAAACATAAAGACAATAATTAATATAAAATGAAAACAGTGAAATAATAATAATAATAATAATAATAAGATATATTCTTAGAGAAAAGGCTTAAAAATACAACAACAATAGTATAATATATATATGTACATAATTTACTTTCTTGCATCGCAGTAACATTTCAGATCTCAGATTCGATTAAAGAAAACGTCTTTTCTTTTCTTAGCATCAAAATTTGCATGTATCTAAATCGTTTATAATTGGACTGTTGGCAAACTCTTGAACAATTAGGTAGTGATTTTTTTAAAATAGAGAAATTGATAATAAAAATTATAAATAGCAAAAGAATCGCAATAAAAATTGTAAAATAGTGTTTCTCTGTCTCCTGGAACATTTGAATTAATCACTTTGTTAGGAACTTAAAATATGTTTTATTCCTTTTCCTTTATTATGAATAATGAATTATGTTCTAAAATCTACTTCGCAGTTAGTTTTATTCACACTTGTCCGTTTGATGGCGTTTTTGTTTTTTCAACTTTTCTCAATTTGCCCCGAAGACAAGTAGAAAATTTTGATAATTATATATTATCCCAAGAAAGGCATTAGGAGTTCCACATGACATTAGATTTCAGAGTGAAAATTCTCACTGTTAAATAGTGAAAACTTTGCAAATTCCTTTTCTCGACAAGCGTTTACAAAAATAATTTGATATTTAAATAAATTGATTTTAGAAGGGAAGAAGAAATGTTGATTATATTCATTGAGTGATATGTATAAATATCAAAGACTCATAAATATGATTAAATGTAGTAAATTGACTAATTTTGGTTTCAGGCCTTGCGATTGGTCCCATTGAGTGACGTCCATTTCTCGTTGAGTGGTACGGGGAGTAAATTTCCTTTTTATTTTCCATTCAGTTTCTCAGTGGGTCGAGACTTTCGAGCGAAAAATCGTCAGTGTCCATCGAAAGACCTCTGCTGAAGCCATCCTTCAAAATTTAATTCAACTTTAATTTAAGTGGTTCATAATAATTAATATTTTCTTTTAATACTTTCACGAGAAGTTGTGAAATACTAAAGTAATAAAAAGATTATAAAATGCTTTCAACAAGTTGTTTAGATAGTACAGTAGGTAACTCACCTTCATTTCTAAAAGTTTCTTATCCAAAAGTCCAATGGCATTTTCTAATTCCTGTTGACTGGGTCCGGAACTCGATGTCATGCTACCGAATTCTCCCATCTCGAAGGGATCTTTAAAATCGTTTTTATCAAAGGGCGCAGGATTGAAAGGAACGCTTCCAAACAGATCTTCCTTCGCTCCGTTTTGTCGCCTCGAGTCCTTTGATTTCGGTGGAGGAGCCACTATAAAGAATGTCAAAAACCTCAACAAGTCTGTTGAGAAAATTGGCTTTGAGAAAATGTTTGGAATAGTTCAAGACACTTACAAAGAGGCGCGGAATTCAATCCATTGGTCTGTGCGAAGAAATTGGATCCTGATGGTGACTGACCATTCAAAAGAGAATTATTGTTTGACTGATGATTTGGCGAGCCATTGCTCGGATTCTCGAAAGCTCTGGGATTGAAGTCTTCCTCAAATTCGTCCATCAGAAGACCTTCCAACTTCGTACCAACAGCAGGTGTTGGCGTCGAAGAATTCTTCCTGCGCATTTAATCTCGATGAGAACTCAACTCTCAAAAGAGAAAAAAGAGAATCTACATATTTAGACAGGATTGCTCTTTAGACTCTTACCCAATAAAGTCATCGTCGAAAGATTTCTCGAAACTCCTCGGGGGAACTGGAGGTGGCTGTTGAGCACCATTGGACGCATTTCCGTTTGTGTCGCTACTAGAGTTGAGGATAAACTTGCCAGGGCCTCCATTGACTCGAGAGGCGTCTGTCAATGAATTGGTCGTCGTTGACGCTGTGGTTGTTGACGCAGTGGGCACCTCCGGAATGTATAAAATGTCAGGAATATTGTGTTGCGAGAGGTACGACGAAATATCCGCCTGTAATTTTACACAAGTTTCGTCAGTCCCACTAAAATTATGCCGAATGCTTTAGATTGAAAAATTACCGTTCCCTTGATGGCCGCGATGTCTTGTAACCGCTGTCGGAAGAAGTTGTTTTCCCGCTCGAGTCGCTTGATCTCTTGCTGCAAAAGAATGGTGCGTCTTTGGGCTTCAATGTCTTTGCCGGAAGTTTCTAAAAATCTCTTGTACGCCTGATCAAAAGCCTGGCCGATCGTCAGCGTTATTTCCTCCGACAGCTTATCACTTACAAAAACGAAGCACATGTGCCTCTCTGCATCTTCCTCTTTCGCGATAAACGTGAAAAATCTTTTTTCGCCCTTATCGTCCGCGCAGTAGGAAATCCGATGTAGCGGATACTGGTGCAAAATTCGCTGCCAACACAATTTCAGATTCGTTATTTTTTTCCAACTTGTTTTGCTTCAGTAAAACTGATAAATACATTGATTTAGTAAATAGTTGACAAACCTTTGGAGAAGTTTTTGTTTTTGGTTCTTGAATGGCAACTCCATCTATGCTAATTGTGAGTTCGACTTTCGGCGTTTTTGTCCCTTCACTTTTTCTGATTTGCTGGTTAAACTTGAGTTTGCAAATGGCATCCTTAACGACCTCGATACCCTTGGGCTGGTCAACTTCCGTGCTGCCCAAATACTGTAAAATCGGGTTTTTACTTATTATTGTTAGTCATAAGAAACAATTCATGTCCATAAAAATGATAATCAAATGGAAACGAAATTAATTTCCTAGCCAGCAGTACTTAAAATAACTCTGATATTGATAGGAAATGAATGTAAGAAGAGATGAAAGCCGTTAAATCGAGTTTGTCCTCGTGACACTCCGGGTCAATAGTCAAGGTGATATCCGAGAGAAAAGTCGTCGCAATCGTTTCTAGGGCAGGGAACGCGATTGGCTTTCTGCCAGGAATAGCATTTTTGCTATTGCTCTTAACTGTAAAAGGGATCGTTCCTCTTGGCGGAATATCGCAAATTTTAATGAGAATTTATTATTTTTAAAAACAATACAGGTCCTTGAATTTGAGCCCCAAAATAGATCCCAAAATAGAATAAAACTTTATCTTTTTCAAAAAAGCGGGATTAAAAACATTCGCGTTGTTGGAGGTTCATAAAAATCCAAGAGGAATGGCTTCTCATTATAAAATATAATAAACTATAATAAATAAAAAAAGTTAATATAGAATTTATTTTAAAAAAAGTGTCATTGACATAAGAGAAGAGAGAGGAAGAAAATAAAAGTTTTTGTCTGACGTTCAAGATTCGAGTGTGCATTTTTATTTTCAAAGTTCGATGAACTGAGAGAGAGTATTATAGGTTGGTATCGTGCTCGAGCACCTGGCATACGAATGAACTGTGGCATCAAGACGTGTGCCATTCTCGATATCTATACTCAGTCTGGTTGTTGGACCCGAGAATATACAGAGAAATGAAAGGCGAGAACCAGGGAACTGACTGTATAGGTCATTATGCAATAATGTACTTTGACGACACTTGAATTTCGAATAACCAATAATAATTTATTGTGATTTGTGATTTAGACAAAAATGTAAATTGATTCTTATATTACTCTCTAAATCTGAATTAGTCCAACGAACGAACGAACAAACGAACGAACGAACGAACGAATCGGTCCTATTTAGTGAAAAGTGACCAATTTAAATTGAAACCTTATTCTTTCCAGAAGTCCTTGGGGACTTTATTGAAAATAGAGTATTGGCGACGGTAGTGATTGTTATTTAGAATAAATTAACATAAATGACTTAATACCTTGACTAGATAGGCGATGTGGCCTTTTTGAAGCGCATCCGGTGGGTGTATCCAGTTTCTACCCGTAGCTGCAACAAAAATTGCACGCACATCATGACGGACCTGCCACTATGTGCACCTGATGGTAACGGTCTGAAAATCTTCCTACTTGATCTAATCTTTCCGGTTATTTTCAGAGGAGAACCGGCTAATGTACATATTTTAATTCTTCATTGAAAGAAAAAGATAAATGATATTGTCATAGAAAAGAAAATACATATATTTTTTCAGGGGTAAGTATTAAATTATCATATCGTATATTAAATTATGCCAACTCCTTTACTTCATTACTTAACTCACTTCCATTTTTGTTTGTTCCATTCTTATTATTGGTTGAATTGGCCCATTTTAGTAGTGTGGAATTCCTCATGTTTTCAATCTCGACTCAAAACTAAACCGACTTTGGAATATCTGAAACAAAATGAAAGAAAAATTGATTATTGAAATAATGAAATCAAGTGAAAAAAGTTAAAAATTTCAAATTACTCGCAATTTAAGTTTGCAACGCTGTGCGGCCAGTTTTGGTGTATGCCGATTGCAATATTTTAAATAAAAGCCTGCACTGAATTACTAATAATAATCAATTTATAATTATCGAAATAACAAGAAATAAAATTTTCTGTTTGAACGCAAAAAAGTAGGTAATAAAGTTGATATTGTAATAATTGCAATAATCAGAAGACACGCGCTTGAGAGCAGAGTGCACATGCGCAGGGGCGTGCGACAGTCACGCTCCTTTGCTCTTGAGAAATCAACGTGAGAATGCAAGCAATGCGCTCGGATTGCGATTAATCGTAACAATTTTGTGCAACGTATTCAACTAGGAGTAGACGTGATTCGCGACGAGAGATTGAGCGGTATTCGTTACACGACCCACTTCTGTCTTAACTGCATAAATTCTTATCTTAAATATTCTTCATGTGAGAAATAATTCCAGTCACCGTTTTCATAATATCGAGGCGAGGTGGCAATTACAATAAGCCGTCTCGCTCGCGTCATCTGCATGACTTCATGGGACATGAATATATTGAACGAAACGACAATTAATACTTCAAAAAACCTAGGCTCAGGTTTCCAAACACATATTTGCAAGTTTCTTTCATATTCCCTCAGGGTTCCATTACTGCAGGAGGCGTTCCTGAGATGTGCGGCCAACGCTCGCGGTTCGAACGCCTGCGAAGCGCTACAAGTAGATAAATCCTTGTATTTTCAAATGCAATCATAGTTTGTCATAGCTCATTAGATTCGTCTTTCTCTAAACTGTAAAATGCAAATAACGAACGTAAAAAGCACTTAAAGTCCTATTAAAATAATTAGGAAAACGATCCACTCACTGCGGCACATTCATTGCGGCATTGTAAACAATTTACAAAAACTTGAATTTCTATTTGCAAACAATTAACAATAATCTATATAATATGATTTCCAGTCACAGTCACTGTCAAATTTAGTATTCTTCATTTCAAAGGTACGATCTAGAGCATTTGAAATTGAATTTCTTTTTGTTTACATGTATACTCGAGATTAAGTTGCATTCGCGTAAAAGCAACTGAATGTTCAGCAGATTGTTAACAGTTGAAGCTGACAGCCTTGGCTACGAAGGCTAAATCCTTTCGCGTTTCATCATCCTATATGACATTATCCGCGTTTGGGCACCCGCTCCTTTCTTATTTTGCAGAATTCTCCTTCAAACATGCTGTCTTATTAATCGACAAGTTAATTACATGTTTACGCATCGGCATTTTTTGGGCAAGTAATCAAGTATTTTGATAGTAGAAAAGTGTATTTATTCTTGAAGAACATTTGAAACATATTTCTGCCGCAAACTGCCATTTGAAAAGTACTTGAGAGTTAAAAGGTAAAGGTTTAATGCCCGACTTCCTATTCCTCCCACGTAAGCGGCAAAGAGGTCGCTTTACTTATCGCGTTGCCTCGATTGCGTTCGTGGTGGGTACCCCAACCGACGGTCCCAGTCACGTGTCTGCGAACGGCCTCCGAGGGATTTCAGATGAATCCTTTCTCGCTACCAACGCTTTATTATGCAGCGAATATGTGTTTTCCCTATCAATTATAATTAAAGCTTCAAAAGATTCAAACGGTCATTAAATTGGTTTAAATTTTAACAAGTTATTCGGCAGCAAAATACAGTCCCTCACATTCTTCAAATATTCAATAATAACAGTTGACAAAAGCTTATTTGAAAATTATTCACTAGAAATAGTTTTGCAAAATTTCCAACTCGGTTGAAAAATGAACTCGTCTTTTTGTATTTGTACAAACAAATTCATAAAGTTCTATTATGCTGGGAAGTTGTATCTAGTCATCAATTGCATTGTTCTAAGTGAAATCATGCCTGAGTCGCCTGGCAGGTGTTAATTTAATAGCTTCGCAAGCCGAGGCGCAAATGCTCTAAATTCTTTACGACTTTGTTCTCTGTATAAACATTCAAACTCTTCAATTTTTCTATCTTTTACAATACATATTTATTAATATTTGTTAATGCAATTTTTTAAAAATTCCTGATATTGTTTTCACTTTTTTTTTTTTTAAAGGAAAGTTGAAAATTAAAATTAAAATATTTATGTACTGCTTGCACAGAAAATTCTTTGAGCGGGACATTTGACTTCATTTACCACAAACTTTCTTCTTGAACAGAAACAATTTTCCAGTTCCTGTTTAGTATACATGTAACTTGGGTTGCGTTAACATCCGCAGAAAGAATTTTCGTTTCGTAATTTTTAAAAAAATTGGTTACAAAATATGAACTTTGCAATTTGAAAAATTAAAACTATCGTTTTTCTTGTAAAATCTATATGAAGAAAATTGTTATCGCACAGTCGATTATCTCGCAAAATGGCTACTGGCTAGGAACAGAAATGATCTCTTGTCGCACAGTTACCGAGGAGAAACATGCATTGAAATATTAATAATATTCATAAACATGATCTTTGTGATGCGTGCGCTGTCGACATATGAAGAAAGAAAGCGAGTTGTGCTTTCTTGGAAGTTAATTGCATAAAAGACACGTAACGACCGGCATCCGTGACGATATCGATAACAAGATGATGCAAAGGTGGAAAAAATCACATTAGCAAGAAAAACAATAGTTTCGTGTACAGTGCTGTGCAATTATAAATAGGAAAAAAGGAAATTTTCCAAAACACGCGCACGAAATGTATATACACAGAGCCTCTTGATAAAATCGCAAAAAATAATTAATACTAATTGGAAACGAATTCAAGTCAATTATTTTTTTCAAATAGGAGACAAAATTTATTTCCCTGGAGACCCTGGAAATAAGAATAAGATAAGTAAATAAGGAATTGTTTTAAAAATTTCCATATAAATTATAATGAAGTGAGTCACAAGATATGAATATGAATATGAGATGAGAATAATAATAATAATGGAAAACTAAAGGGAAATTTTTTAACGAGGAGGATTCTTTCCATATACATATATGTGAGAAGAAGAAAACCGCCGTGAGAAAAGAGATAAACGTCCATAACATGTATATATAAGACTCGATTGTCATGCGTGTTAAACTCATGTGAATATATTTTCTTCATATATGCAAAGTGCAAAACAAAGCATATTATATTATATTTAATTCTTATTCACTTTCGAGAACGAATTTCTCAAAGCACTATAAAAACAAAGTCGTAAGGCACGTACACAGCTGAAACATATGTATTTTCCAAATTCAAACAATTTTTGGGACCGAAATAAAAATTTGAAGAAAATTTAAAGCAGAACAAAAAGCACATCTAAGCGATAAGAAATTAGGAAATTTGTACTTTTTCAGAATTAAAAAGATCCGCATAAATATTGCGGTTTATTTAAATTGTCTCTGTTTCAGCGCTAATTCAGAGGTAATTTTCAAACAATATCCTGCAAATGAAAAAAACATTTTCCTTTGACCAAGAATCTTGATATCTGCCCAATTACAACTCTAATTTACCTAAAGAGTGTTTTCCTCGCTGAATAATTTACCACTTCCTCTTGACCTTACTTTTATAGTTTAGCTGAAAATTACGAGCGTCGCTAAATGCATCTAATCTGTTAACGATGTGCGCTCGCGAAAAGAGGGAGTAATTTAATGTGAAGATTGATGAAAAAATCTACACTCTTGTCTCTCAAAGATTTACAACCATGTTGTTTGTAATAAATTTTTCTTAACTGATGCATATTTCTGAAAATAAAACTATGTATGAAGAATCAATTAGACAATCGATTGGCATCATTCCGCAGAATGCAGATTATTGAGATTATCAACAGTGGATCAGCAACTATAACAAGCAGATGATTTTTGGCAAATGATAAAAATGATATGATAAAATGATAAAATGACCTACTAAGAATTCAATAAATTGACTATTCATCACCATCAAAATTAAACTAGTCGGACAATTTTTACCAAAGATAAAAGTCCATAAGAATTGAAACGATTAAAACTTAGATAAATATACTAGATGCGGCGAGGGTCGATGGTGGGGACTACCGATATATATAGCATACTAAATTTTCAGTGTATGTTAGTGCTGCCCTCTTCAACTTTTCGCCGTTTCCAAGGATACCGCTTGGAAATCGCGTTTTTTGAGTCGTGAAAGGCTAGAATTTCATTTCTCGCCAATATCACTACTTTTTTTTTTGAAAACAACGTGTTTTTCAATAAAAACTAATAAATCAATTTTTTAAAATAAAATTTTTAAAAATAAAGAACTTTTAATTGAAAATAAAAAAACCTAATTATTATTTTTAATTAACTTTCTTATAAATAAAATAAAATATTTTGATTATTAATTGTAATTAATTTCCTTTATATAATAAAAAGTTATTAATTAGTTTTTTAATTGAAACAAAATTTTTTAATTATTAATTAAATTAATTAATTTAGTTATTAAATGTATTATTAAAATAATTTATTTAATTATTAAATTAATTATTAATTAATTTTTTTAATTAGTTAAATAACCCCACATAACCTTGGAGTGTAGAATCCAAGGTATCTGTAGGCAGATTTCCCAAAATTCCCTAGGCAAAAAAATAAATAATAATAATAAAAATAATTTAAAAATAAATAAAATAAAAATCAATAGATAATTATAATGTTCATTATAATGTAATGACTCGATAGAGTTTGGAGCTCAGTTTTAAATTTGACGTTGCAGTTTGAAATACGTAGCTATATTTTTACTTAATTTGAGAAATTACATATTTTTATTTTATTAATTTATTTTATTATGAATTATTGTATTGTGAACCGTTATTTATTTATTTATTTATGGTATTTTATTATTTATTTTGCATGTGCTATTTATTATTTTTATTTATTATTAATATTTTCATAATTGTATTTTTAATGTTTCATAAATTTTAATTTTTTTTATTAATTAATTTTTAATTTGTTA